GCATGATAGATTTTCACATCCAAGCCTTTGAGTTGATACTGCAGCACAGTGATCTATGAGAAATACTCTCACTGCTTTCCTATGAACTAGAGGTATAAAGTCATAAAAAATTCAGAGATACTTTAAAACAGCATTTGCTAACCATAGTACAGTCTGGAAGCATAAACATATCTGCTACCATTAAAGTCTTAGCTTACCATTAAAGTCACTTGAGGTATGAACCTACCTACAAATTCAGAAAGAAAACCAAACAAAATGGAATGATTCTCCCTCAGATTGTGACACTTCTGTAACCCACTGTAAAGAGTATCTAAAATAAGGTGTACATCTTACCTGAAATCTATTTCTGTTGTCAAAGTCTCCTTACACAAATGAGGTTAAAATGTCTCAGCCGAGGTGTTTTTACCAATACTGTTCCCAACCATTATGGCCTCATTTCCTTATTTCTACAGATAGGTGCAAAAGATTCCTTCCCAAACTCCCACTTCATCCACATTTATTCCATTTACATCTCATCTTGCCTCTCTCCTCCACTGCCAACATTCATATCTGATTCTATAAAAAAGGCAACTTAGAGACAACTAGTAATTCTGTAGAAGACAGAAAAGTTACTCAAGAATTAAATACCACAGTGCATATTTTTCAGGTGAAATAAATGACCATGCCAAATCTCACCACTTCTATATTCTGCTAATAACTTCCACTAAGAAAGCCTTTATCTCCCAGACCCCTCCCCACAGCCTAATAGGGAACGCACCACATAAAATACTTTCTCTTGGTTCTACCATCTCCTAAGAACATAAGGAACCATTTCTTCTTACAGCGCATACAGATGTGTTTCCATCACTGACACCAGGGTTTGTCATCCATGTGGCAGAGGGGGCATACCGAGTTTGTTTGGGGAGGGGGAAATGGAAAGAAGTTCTTTGCGTAGTCATAGGGTGTGGTTATGAGGTTCATAAGACACCAGGTAGCTAATACATGCTGCCTGGCCAGGGACCCTGTCATTCCCCTGGTTTAAATAATAATGTAAGTGTGTCTTTTTTCCCTGTACCCTTCTGAATAAAGATTTTGTTTAGGGGATTAATCTAAAGGAAATTGCTTCATATTGACAACTGATTTATGCCATGTACATAACATTCTCTTTCTGCTTTGTTAGCTGTCTTTAAGGAACTGAAAGCGTCAACTGTGTGTGGTTGGGATCCATTCAATATTCCAGATCTTGCATTCACTCCCTACTGAGAAAGTACAGAGAAAAAACACAGACACTCATCAGCCTGTTGCTGTCTAACCTCAGGCTCCATTCTACATCTCTGCAGTACTAGCCCAGTGTCTGTATTGGCTTTAAATTTCCTTTTGATATGCTCATTGAATCAACTAAGGGTTTTTTTGGTTTGCGGGTTTGGAGGGTTTTTTACGAGTATGAATCACATTCATGTCTTCTCTCCTTGTGCACATGCTGGAAACAATTACAGTTCCAGTCTGCAGTTTCATCAGTCTGCTTTGCTCAGTGGAAACCTCACTGAGAACAGCAGGCCTCTGAAAATGCTGACATACTAGGGGACTGCAGCCTGCAGTCAAATACTCTTAAATTCTACAGCTCCCTCCTTATCCTCTACTTCCCTGTGAGATTAGAACCAGTCCCCAGGTGTAATATAAAACTAGGTTACATTACAACACTGCTGTCATGGTTTGAGCTCAGAGGGCAACTGAGCACCAAGCAGCTGCTCATGTCCCCCTTCTCCCCCCAGCACTGAGGAGAAAATAAGTCAGGCTTGGGATTCGAGACAGGACAGGGAAGAGCAAATCACCCATTATGGTCACAGGCAAAAGATAGACTTGTTAGGGGAAGAAAAAAAGCACATAGCATTATTATAGATATTACCAACAACAGCACTTAACAGAAATAGTAGGACAGTGAGAAGCATTACCACACCTTGAAACCTTCTCCCTGACCCTCCCTTCTTCCCGGGCTCAGCTCTGCTCCCGATACCTCTACCTCCTCCCCAGAGCGGCACAGGGGGCAGGGGATGGAGGGTGCAGTCAGTGCTGCTGCTTCTTCCCTCTTCAGCAGGGGGAGGTAGAACTTCTGGTACTTCTTTCCCCTGCTCCAGCACTATCCCCCTCTCACTGGAGACAGTCCTCCACAACTTTTCTCCAACTTGAGTCTCTCCCGCGGGCTGCAACCCTTCCTACGCTGCCCCAGTGTGGGACACCCCTGCACGCTGAAATCCTCCCAGCATCGAACTACAGCAGTGAGGGCTGCTTCTTCCCATAGGGTCCTGGCTGACTTCTGGTGCAGCCACCTTAAGTGGCCGTGTGAGGCCCCTCACAGGCCATACATCAGTCTCTGCTGCACCGTAGACCTCCATGGGTGGCAGGGGGGGGCTGCCCTGCCGTCTCACCACAGGATACAGGGGGGTCTCTGCTCTGGCACACCTCCCCCTTCCTTTCTTCCTCCGTTCCTCCACTGACCTTGGTGTTCACGCAGCTGCAGCAACCCCTCCTCACAAATCCGACTCCTCCTCACCACGTCCCTTCTTAAATACGTTATCGCAGAGGCGCAGCTGATTGGCTTGGTCCTGTCCAGAGGTAAGTCTGACTCGGAGCTGGAGGAGCTTCAAGAAGCTTCTCACTGTAGCTGCCTCCCCTGCTACCCAGAAAACCCCACCACTCACTCAAACCCAAAACAACTGCAAACACAACAGTGTCTAAAAATAACAATGCAAATTCAGATTGCTTGTGGTTATTAAAGAGACTACAGCCCGGTTTCCTCAGAAAATGAGGATAGCATGTTCATGTCTGTCTACTCCACCCTTCTACTATGTAACTTTCAAATCCTAGTGGCCAATTTCAAGCAAAACTAGCAGAGACGTAGATGTCTCAGAGATACGAAGTTCCTGCAAGTTTTTTCCAATATACAAATGAGTAAAAGAAAGAAACCATATCAATGGATTTGCACAAGGAAAGATTGATCATCAGAAAACCTACCAAGAAAAGAAAAAAGATGCAAAATTTAATTAGTTTTCTGTGCACAGAATAGCTTATTTAAAGAGTGACAATAATAAATAGCAGATTGTTTATTAGGTGACTAATAAATAGGCACACTTAACTGGTATAGAACAACCTTGCTCTGTGGAGGCTACAACCACTGAAAACAGAATTGAAAGCAAAAATGTTCCTTGTGTCTATAGCCACCAGCCCTTTGAGATGGCCAGGCTGGTTAACACTTACCTGTAAACAGTAGACTTAGTTTAGTATCCTACAGCTCCCCAGCAACTTCAGCTACTCGTCCTTGCCCTCTACTTCCCCAACAGTTTACTAATCTCTCAGTTGTGCCAAAGAAACCTATGAAATAATACAGGTTTTCTAAATATGCCTAAAAAGATGAACAGACATAGGCAAGATAAACAGTTGAGCACAGCTGAGGAGACAGACACATCCAGCAACTTGGACAGCAAAGTGTAACAATTGCCTCTGAGAGGGCCAGAAAAGACTACACCACCATTTCTACTTAACTTGGGGCATGCTGGGGAGTAGGAGGGGAGATATACAAGCATTATTTGCTGTGTGCCTGCTTGGTATCACATAATAAAGAATTGCATTGTACTTATAGCATGACAAGATTAAATAACATTGTGCTGTGGACAGTCTGCATCACACAGCTTCTATCAAGCCTTCACACTCCAATTGCATGGGTGGGCACAATGAATGACAAAACCAGGATGTTTTGTGATTCATTCCCTTCAGATGCAGTTCACAGTCTAAACAGGCCTAGCATAGTCCCAACCTTCCCCTCACCATGCCATTTATTCCCCCTCTATCTGGTGTGCCATCACTTTTTTTGAAGGGGCGCAAGGTTAGGTCAGCTCCCCAGACCTGCTGAGCAGGCGGTCACATAAATCTGACTGTGTGAGCCTGCACAGCGCTGGGGACACCTGGTAGCTGGGACTCACCTCCTCTTAAACTGCTGTGCAGCTCAGCCGTGCAGTGATTCACTCAGTGGGTGAGGCGCCAGCGTCTCCAGGGGGGCCTTCCAGAAGGTAGGAATTGCTGCTCCTCCAAACTTGCAATGCGGCATAGGCCATAAGAGGAGGACAAACTACAGAAGAATAAGGGTTTGCTTCTTAGTAATTCCATGGAAAGGCATCTGTGTTCTTTATAAACTGATGCAACCTTCATTATGGAGACACTTTTTTTTAAACTTAAGAGTCTTATTTCGTAACCCTGAGCATGTGACTACAGAGTTAACTTTCCACACAAGGAAGATCATGGAGGGAGCGATGGCTGACCAGCTCCCCAGTTGCACTGCAGTAGCAGCATGCAGGTGTCAGCTCCCTCATCGCTATGGGTTTAACTGGTGCACCAGCCAAAGCAGCAGCAATGACACTTCAGTGTTTTCAACCATTCAATTAGAGGTGGCTTGCAGCATGAACACCTCCCCACTGTGACTTCCAGCTTTCAAATGCTGGATTTGCCTTCTGAACACTTCATGACAACTCTCCAAAATTTGTACTGGGAACTGTCGAAACACCTAGTTTGTTTGGTTAAAGCTTGAAATACTTCACTGCAACTGAGATTCCTGCTTATTCACGATATATTTTTTAACACAGTCTGTAGGAATTCTGTTAAAAAGTAATTTCGGCTGAGAGTGAAATTGTTTAGCAGCAGCCCGAAGGGTGCGTTAGTTTTCTCGTTGTAAAAATGTAACCCAAATCAAGACCTTTCCACACAGAAACTAAACCGCTCAAAATTTCCAAACCCAGCAATGCTCCCCTCGTTGTTCCTCCGAGCGGTTTCACGGGCAGGACCACGCGATGACAGCTGGAAGAGGAAAGCCCTCCAGGGGCGCGGGGCGCGGCCGCCCGCTGTGGCGGGGGCCACCGTCCCTGGCCGCGCAGCCCTGGCGGCCGCTGAGGGGACGCGGCGGAGGCGGTGCCGCCTGCGGGCGGGCGGGCGGTGAGGCGCGCTCCCAGGGCCCGCCCCCGCCCGCCCCGTGATGGCGGAGGCGGAGCCGAGCGGTGCTTCGAGCGGGTCCCCGCGGGCTGACGGAACGGCCGCAGCCGCGCCACGGGCAGAGCCATGGGGCTGCCGGGGCTGCTGGTGGGGCTCTTCGTCGTGCCCGCTGTGCTGGTGAGCACCGGCCTTCGCCACGGCGCCCCGCGGGCCGAGCCGGAGCCGGCCGAGGTGGAGGCGGCCGAGGGGGAGCCGGCCTGGGGCGCCGTCCCCGAGGACTCGCTGTGGCCGCTGCCGCAGTGGCTCCGCACGTCCGGCCGCCAGCTGCAGCTGGCCCCCGGCCGCTTCCAGCTGGTCCACGGCGCCGGCTCCTCGGCGGGGCCGGCCTGCGGTCTGCTGCAGGACGCCTTCCGCAGGTGAGGGGCGGCGGGGCCGGGGTCGCGGCGGGGCGGGCGGCGTCCCGGTGGCGGGAGCGGTTGCCTCAGAGCCCCGCCGGCGGCTGTGCTTCCCCGGCAGGTACTACGAGTACATGTTCGGGCAGTCTCGCCGGCGGAAGCGGGGCCGCAGGCCGCTCGGCGCCCGGGCGGAGCCCGAGCTGGTGCAGCTGCAGGTGGTGATCGACTCCCGGGACCCCGGCTGTCACAGCTACCCGCACCTCGCCGCCAGCGAGGCCTGTGAGTACCGCGCAGCCCTCGCCGCCTCCCCACCCCGCCCCTCTCCTTCCGCGGCACCGTTGGCCCTTGTTTTCCAATCCCGTGTCCAGCGTAAAAGTCAGCAGTTTGGTGTTTGGTTTTTTTTTGTTGTTGTTGTTTGGGGTTTTTGTTTTGTTTTTTTCTTTTTTCTTTTTAAGGAACTGGAAGTCTTATGCTTACTGAGGCGGTCGAGAACATTTCACGGCAGTGGCAACTCGAAGATAATTCTTGCTCTTAGTACTGTGGGAAATTGCATCCCACAGTGATTCATGAAGCTGGTTAGAAGTGTAACCTATGATTTTTGCAGTTCAGCTAGCTAATTTACCTGCTGTTGCCCTTTCTAGTAACTGTCATTAAGAATCTGAGGTATTATGCTATGCGATACCCAATTATGTATGATGAGATCTATGCACAGTCAAGAGATAACCCTTTCTTTCAGTACAGAGTGGTTGAGTGAAGTCTGGCTTTGCTTAGTCATCTGCTCTCCTTAGAAATAACTACATTTGAATTAAAGCTACCTACACAGGCTTATGTACACGGTATTTCTGTTTTTTTCCAGGAACACCGGAAAGTGTTCATTGAACTTCTTGTTATTCATCTGGCAGTATTATACATCCACTTTCTTTCTATCAGTAGATACAAGAAAGGATTTAAAAACATGATGGCTATATTGGATTTGTTCTACTATGGTTCTTCAGTTCTGTGACTGAAGTCTAGAGTGGAGAAGTACTCTCAAATGAACTCCTCATCACCAGAGAAGTTTCTTAACGGAAATAAGGATGAGTTGATAGTATTACTTTTTGTCTGGACAGGCTAGCACAGAATTCAACATACTCAATTAATCTAAATCTGCCTTGAGATAATCTTCTCTTCTAGGCAAGGCAGTTGTTTGGTATCCAGGATACAGACCCTTAGAAAAAGGTCCTTTTAATGTTAAATCATACATCTGCATCAGGATTAATTCCACCTGAGCTATGATAGAATGTACTAATTTTAAGTTTACTCCCTCTCTTTGGTACATTTAGCCCAGTAGTGCAATTTTTGTGTGCAAGTTTATTGTACATTTCCGTGCCAGTGAGGTACAGCAGCAAAAAATTGCTAATGCTGTAGAATGTTTCTGCCACAGTCAGATTTTTACACTGCTTTACTACTAGCTGAACTTTGAACTGGTTTGTGAGGTTCAGATTTTAACCAAAGCTAGTTCTTTTCTCCTGTCAGGGAATCTGTCAGATCATGTGATTTTAAGGTTACATTCTTTAGAACAGTCAGAGTTTTCCGTCTGCTCTAGGAAAGGAGTTTCATATTAGAAGTAATATGGAGTTTTCCTCATGTAGTAGGCTGAGTTCTCTAGACTTCAGTGAGGTTTTAATTTCTGCTTTTATTGGGATAGCTTGTTCAGGGAACAAATGCTGAAATGTGCAGTTATTAGTCACTTGCTGGATTCAGCAGTTTGGCTCATTTCTTAATAGAGATTGTATGGACCAGTCAGTGACCATCCTAATAGCAAGAGTATTGGATGTGCAATCAAAGTAGAAGTTACCTGCCCTTCTCCCTGCTGGCTTCTTGACTGTTGTGTAAAAGGTTCCTAATAGCCATCCAAAACTTGTTGTTCTGCATTCATTTAAGTTATGATACATGTTCAGAAAAAAATCCTGCTGTTATGGAAGTAAATCCCTGACTGAACTACAGTTTACCACAGAAAAGCCTGTGGAGATTACTGTAGTCCTCTAAATTCTCTTCCTTACCCAGAACTTCCAGTGTATGCAGTTCTGTGCTTAGGTTAAAATGGAACCTTGAGGTACTTGAGGTCTTTATTTGTTTCTTCACTAAAATGTACTGAATCATCTTAAATGAAAAGCAAAATTGTTTTAGCTTTTTTTTTTTTTTTCCCCCCCCACAGTGCTTTGTACTGTACTTTTTAAGTACTGAAACTTAAGGGAGGATTGTTATGGACACATTCAGATACTATTCTTTATTTCACTTATTTCACTGCTCCCATACATGTGTTCATTAGATGTTGGGGTCCGATTTTTTTTTTCTTCCTTTGTAATTAAACTTTTATAGTAAGCACCTAAGAATATTACTTGACAAGCTATAGCTCTAAAAAAAATATAAGCATAATCTGTTTAAAAGGAAGGTAAAAGGAGAAGTAAACTTTTGTGGTTAGGTCTGGCTTAGTCTTAAATGCAAAAATATCATCTGCTGTGTTTTACATCAGTTGGCTTAAACTTTGCAGCAATTCTGGCCTATGTGCAATACTTAACATTGCCATTATTAAGCACCTTATTTGTTTTATCATTTTAATGATTAACTGTTGACTCTTTGACTAGTAGCTTGCATTAATTTGGGAGTACATAAATGAAAAATAGCTGCACGGTATCACTGTTAAAAACAGCGTTGGTCAGAGTTTAAAAGCCAGAGGCAGATATGGCACTTGAAGACTCTCATTAATGCCTGTTAGCGTTCTTCTCTCAATCTACGCTTTCTTGAGGAATAGTTTTTTTTTTTAATTTTCTTTTCTTTAGATCATTTAACTGTAACTGAGCCTGTGGCTATACTGAAAGCAGATGAGGTATGGGGCGCTTTAAGAGGTAAGCTGATACTTTTCCTATAAAGCAATTTGTTCTGGGCTTATATAAACTTCATGGCAGACTAAGAACCAGCTGACCACTGAGCCTTGCCCTCATTCAGTCCTTTATGGGAAGTAAGCTTTGGCATAGAAGCCAGAAGAATACCCAGATGTGTGTTGGTCAAACCCTCAGTCCAGTGCTCAGCATCTCAGATCCAGGGACACAACATAAGTATGCTCTTGCTGTGCCTGAAATCAGCCAAGCTAGCCAAATTCTGGGTGCTAAAAAGCTCTCTGATCTACAGTGCAAACAAATTATTCTCTGTCTGCACCTAATAATGGAACATGCTAGATGCATCACCAGCAAGACCATAATGCTGAAGTTTAAGTCTCTGTTCTTACTGGAGTGTTAGTCTAAATTAGCAGATTTTTCATACTGAATTAGAAATTTCACCAGTTCCAGAAAAGACAGGGATAGATGCATGACAATACCAGAAATTCCTACCTTACTCTCAGTAACTTCCATACTGTTTGAGGATTAATTTGGTACAGCTGAGCAGTAGTGCTAATATTCAGTATTTGTGTATAATGAATAGTTTGAATGGTTCTTTCTTCAGAATTTCTTCAACTGTGGTGCTTGAGCAATTAAGGAAACTGTGCTAAAGAGAAAGAAACTTGGCTACAGAGCATTCTTTCTAGCCATGTAAATAGTTATGATTCTGTTTTAGTTAAAATTTTAAGGACGAGCACTGGGTTGTACTCCAGATCCCTTTCTTGGATTTTTTTTCCAGGCTTGGAAACCTTCAGCCAGTTGGTTCATGAAGATGACTATGGAAGCGTAAGTATAGCTGTTAATTAAACTACAGTCCTGATAACAGACCACCACATTCTTTATTAGGTGCTGTTCTAGAAACAGCATATCTACTAGTTTCAGTAAGTATTTTTTTTCAGAAAATGGTCCTTGTAAAGCTGTTAAACTGAAAAATAAGTATTTCTTGTTTGAAATTATGAATATAAAATGGGAATTCTAATTTTTAAATCTTGTTCTCATAGTTTCTTGTCAATGAATCTGAAATCGATGACTTCCCAAGATTTGCTCATAGAGGAATCTTACTAGATACTTCAAGGCATTATTTACCATTGAAATCTATTCTTACAAACCTGGTAAGTGGACAGTTTTGTATCATTAATAATGAAGGCTTTTTGTTGTTGTGTTTTGCCCCCTGAAGTAGGTAGCAGCTGGAGCTGGTATGAAAGGAGGACCTATCTCCTGTAGCTGACTTCTGAAAGGACAGAGTGAACTTTGTTAAGTGACGGTCAGAACATACACTAGAGAGGACTTGAGTGGACAGACACAATGAGTAGTGAATCTGAAGGAGACTGGGATTTGTGGTACCATGGGTTTTCTGTATTTTCTGTTGCCTAAACCAGCTCATGTATTTCTTGGAAGTGTGTTTTGAGACATCTCACTGTCACTAAGAAATACACAGGAGACTTTGGAAGTGCTAGCTTCAGTGCCCCAGTGATTGCAGGAAAATTCCAGTCTTTTCAATAACCAGGCTTTGGTAGTCCTTCCTTAGATTGCAAAGAGCAAGCCAGTAATTAAATAGTACAGAGCAAGGCAGGAAATTGAAAATGTTCATTCATACTGATTTCATCCCTTCAAAAATAAAAAAACAGACAAAAAAACCCAAACAAAACTTTCTCTGAAAAGCTTAAGTGAGCACACTGAGAATTGTATACTCCCACCTTGATGAGAAAATGATGAATTTGTATAATCATAGCAGCCAAAGCTGTGGGATTTTCTGATTTTCTACCTCTTTTTTCTGTTGTTGAAATCCTTGTAGCAGGGCTTATTTGGTGGGTTGAAATGGAGGAGCCTTTGGGTGGAGTAACGTGCAGTTTCCTCTCTTGTGTCTGTCTTCTTTTTTCTAAAATGAAATAGTATTAGAAATTTCCCTTCCATGTGTCAGAGCTTTGTAGAGCAGGCCTAAGATGGACAGGAAGGGAGTGCAGGTAAAACCAGTCTTAATTTCTGAGGTCATTCTTGAACTATGCTCAGAACAGGTGCTCCTGCTACGCCACCCAGGTTGCAGAAAGCAAAGGCAGGCAGGGACTGGGAGAATGAGGAACTGCCCACTGAAGGAGAAGGTCGGGTTCAAGACTATCAAAGGAACCTGAAGGTGCGCAAGTCCATGGAACCTGATGAGATGCATCTGTGAGTTCTGAGGGAGCTGCCAGATGAAGTGATTAAGCTACTATCCATCGTGTTTGAGAAGTTGTGCAGTCTGGTGACGTTCCCACTGACTGGAAAATGGGAAACATAACCCCCATTTTTAAAAAGGGAAAAAAGGAGGACCCAGGGAACTACAAGCCAGTCAGTGTCTGTCCCCAGCAAGGTCATGGAGTGGACCCTCCTGGAAACTATGCTAGGGCACATGGAAAATAAAAAGGTGATTGGTGACAGCCAGCATGGCCTCACCAAGGGCAAATCATGCCTGACAAATCTGGTGGCCTTCAATGACAGGGTTACAGTGTTGGTGGATAAGGGAAGCAAAGCTGTTGTCATTTACCTGGACTTGTGCAAAGCATTTGACATTGTCCTGCACAACATCCATGTTTCTAAATTAGAAAGACATGGATTTGATGAATGGACCACTTTGTGGATAAGGAATTGGCTGGATCGTCGCACTCGAAGAGTGGTGGTCAATGGTTTGAGTGGAGAGCAGTGACATGTGGCACTTCTCAGGGGTCAGTGTTGAGGTCACTGCTGTTGAACATCTTTGTTGGAGACATGGGCAGTGGGATTGAGTGCACCCTCAGCAAGTCCACTGATGACACCGAGCTGTGTGGTGCGGTTGACATGCTGGAAGGAAGGGTTGCCATTCAGAGGGACCTGGATAGGCTTGAGAAGTGGGACTGTGCAAACCTCATGAAGTTCAAAAAGGCCAAGTGCAAGGCCTTGCACGTGGATTGGGGCAATCCCATGCATGAATACAGGCTGGGTGATGAGTGGATTGAGTGTAGCCCTGTGGAGATTAACTTGGGGGTGTTGGCTGACAAGAATCTCAACATGACCCAGCAGTGTACACTTACAGCCCAGAAAGCCAACCATAAGGACTACATCAAGAGAAATGTGGCCAGCAGGTCAAGGGAGGGGATTCTCTCCCTCTACTCTGCTTTTGTGAGACCTCCACCTGGACTACTGTGTCCAGCTCTGGGGCCCCCAACATAAGAAGGACATGGACCTGCTCAGGTAGGTCGAGAGGAGAGTCATGGAGATGATCGGGTTGGCTGGAGCACCTCTCTTGTGAAGACAGGCTGAGAATTGGTGGTGTTCAGCCTGGAAAAGAGAAGACTCCAGGGAGAACTAATAGCAGCCTTTTAGTACCTAAAGGAGGCTTACAGAAATGATGGGGAGGGACTTTTTATAAGGGCATGTAGTGATAGGACAAGGGGTAATGGCTTTAAACTGAAAGAGGGTAGATTCAGATTAGATATAAGGAAGAAATGCTTTCCTGTGAGGGTGGTGAGACACTGACACAGGTTGCCCAGAGCAGCTGTGGCTGCCCCCTCCCTGGAAGGGTTCAAGGCCAGGTTGGACGGGGCTTGGAGCAACCTGGTCTAGTGGCAGGTGTCCCTGCCCATGGCAGGGGGGTTGGAACTAGGTGATCTTTAAGGTCCTTTCCAACCCAAATCATTCTGTGATTCTATGAACTTACCCCTCCCTGGGTATTTATCACTTTACCTTTGAGATCAGTCTTTGTTCAGGAAGTAGTGTTTATATAGTGTTTTATTTGCAAGTGAGTTTGCTTCAAAGACTCAAGTAGTTACTTGTGTCAATATTTGTTGGCTTTTCTAAGAGAGACAACAGTGTCCAAAGAGTAACTTAACTTTTGAGACTTGCATTTCTAACCATTTTTGTATTTCTGTAGCTGTTGCTATTCTGTTTTTGTCCCATAAATTACATCCATGGCTCTAATGCTTTACCAGATTTTTATGCCATTTTGCTGGTTTAAGAACAAGTGTGCTTTCCTTCCCACCTCTGTGCCTGCTTGAATCCAGACTAACCTAATAAAAAGCAGCAGTAATCCCTTCACTGATGTGTGATAATTAGATGCTTAAGGCAGAAGTTCAAGTACATTTCTTGTTTGTGTTTAGCTACTGTGCTGTATTTCCAGGAAGGGCATTGTCCTGAGGAAGGAGTGGCAGAGGTGGAGGTTGGGAGATATAATTTTCTATGTGGAAGGATGATATTTGATAGAAATGCATGAAGACATGTAGTAATTAAAATTTCCACTGTCTGATAAACCAGATGAGATAATTTTGGGGAATGGACAATGTATAAATCTTCCTTTGGATTTGGTGGGAGTTCCTGAACAGATTTTTGTCACTTCTTTAAATGCAGCTTGGTGAAAAAAGAAAGGGAGAGGGGTGAAAATAATTGTATTGTGGCAAGGGATTGGATGCAACTGTGTTGCAGTTATTCTGTCACAAGTGATGTAGAGAATACTTACTTGGCTAGCAGCACACAACACTTCAGTGACTCTAACAAACTTGGAAACTCAGGGTATGTGTAACTGCTGATCTGGAGTAATAATTCTAAAATAAGTGTGTTAACATTTATCTTGCTTGTCTTCAAGTTCAAAAAGGGAAGTAATAATACTGTAATGACTGAAAACATAAGGGAAACACTATCTTCTGTGGGGAAAAAATGCATGTTTTATTTTGCATACATTTGAAATATGATTCTGCAGAAGTCAAACATGTAGAGGGGTACTACGTTGTAGGAAGCTCTCTCATGCTGTTTAGATTTTCAGCCCAAAGTCTTTAGGTAGAAAAGTGTAAGCTTTTTTGTAAGCTGAAGTAGCTGATGGTGCATAGAGAATTACCCCATATGTACTGAAGTAGAAGAAATTCATGAGCGTTTATAGCAATTCCCCTTCCACCAGCCAGTGTAGCATGATCAGATCAAGACAGGAATGGTGCAGATAGGTGGCAGAGGAATGGAGCAGTAGTTTAAACAGGCTGGTGTGTTTTGATGTATGCTTCTAGCATATGGTGAAACAAAGAACACCTTTTATTTCTCTTTTTTTTTTTTTGTCTTTGTTTGTTTGTTTGTTGTTGTTGCTTTAAGCATGCAGGATATACTGGGACAAGACCACCTTTTTTTGCTGTAAGAGCAAAGTGCTTAACTGTATTGCTTTATTTGTTACAGGATGCCATGGCTTTTAACAAGTTCAATGTTCTGCACTGGCATATAGTAGATGATCAGTCATTCCCCTACCAAAGTATTTATTTTCCTGAGTTAAGTGACAAGGTGAGTAACATCATTGAAGCAGGGTGGGAGGGCAGAAACCTGGGACATATTTAATGAAAATAAAATGCAGAGCCTACTAGTGGTTGAATAAATCTACATTGGCTGATAGTGAAATAATACCAGAGGACCAGTAACGAGCAAGTCCACATTTAGGATCCTACTTGAGTGTCTTTGTGGACCATGTTCAGATCTTCCTTGGTGAATGCATGGTAAATGATCTTCCTAACTCTTCTGTGCAAATTTGCTGGTGACGGTGAACCTTAGTGTTTGCAGGCCTTCAAACAGTAATAGCGTGCAGATAACCTGTTGTGGTAAACACTGCTTGGATTTCTGTTGGTTTGTTTAACTGTTATACTTCCTGCCACTCAAACATTAGAGTTTCTTCTCAGCTCTAGGTTTGGAACCACTGTAGTAGTACTTCTGCTCAGTCTGAGATCTAGTTAACTTTACAAAACAGAACATGTTATAAGAGGTCCAAAAGTAAGAGGTTGTTTTCTAAAACAAATACAGTGCACTGTATCTCTTTATTTCATGATTCACAGTAGATTTTGCTAATTGATGAAAGCCATCATGAGGTCCTTGCTCACTCATGGAACAGCAGTAGCCAAATCAAACATGAATAATTAAGCAGACTAAGCCTAAGCACAAGATTTGTGATTCTGTTTTAAAATGCATGCTAGAATTTGATCCTCATGAAAATTAAATAGGCAACATTTGAGCAGATGTAATGAAAAATTTTGTAATTAAAAATCGTAGATGTTGGATGGTGCAGTCCAATTATTTTTTCTAGTAATGACTGGAGTTCCATCCTATTCCTCACTGACACCTGGAGAGAGGGAGGTTGGCCTTTGTCTTTGGCCTTTGTCTCAATAGCCTTCTTTTTGAAAGGCTTCTTGTTTACCATTATATTTTTTGAGTAACTCAGCTGTGGAAACCATTTCTAGGTAAATGGAAGCATAAGGTACTATTAATCATGAGGAGTCATGATGCCTTTCTTGCATAGTTTGACTCTTTAGCTAGCATCTGTTTCACCAAACTGTACCAGTTTGGGTCATTTATCACATTTGTTGGCTGTGTGGGAGTGGAATAACGCTCAAATTCAGTGTCACAAAGTGAACACACCCTGATACTAAATTAGGCATTGTATCAAAACTGACAAGCAGAGGTGTTAGAAGAAGATGCCGTTCTTTCTGACTTGGCAGACTTTTTCCATTAGTCTTGCATGCCATGTAACAAGGGCCCTATGTTTCAGAGCTAATGATGCAGAGGTGGAGGGGAAAACTAACATTCTTCATATCTTCTGTAAAGAAGCATCTTTCAAAAGTCTGATGGAATAGAAACTAGCTTTTCTGTTTTCTTCAGTAACTGTGAGCTGGGAAGGAAAGGACAGTGTCCTCCACAGGTTTGTCTTAGTATGGAAGAAGGGTTTAACTTTTGTAGCTTTTTGGTTTTGTTGTGTGTGGTTTTTTTGTTTTGGTTTTTTTTTTTTCCCCCATTAGTCAACTGAAAAGTTCTCTCGGTGCAGTTGCACATGTAATAAACCAGAAAAGGCCAACTTGTAAAACTGCTCTCCAGTCTAAATTGTAACACTTCAATCTTAATTCTGTGAGCTGCTACTACAGTGTTTTGTAAACTGCCTTTGAATGTGTATACTTTACAGGGAGCATACTCCTATAACCACATCTATACTCCTACTGATATCCGTCTGGTGATTGAGTACGCCCGGCTAAGAGGCATTAGAGTTATTCCAGAGTTTGATACTCCAGGACACACACAGTCTTGGGGAAAAGGTAGGTCCAAAAAAGTGCTAACGGTTAAAAGATTGTGGTAAGTAGAGTGTAGCAAACAAATGAACTTGTTAGAAAGCAGCCTTTAAAGTGCTTTGAAAGGCCCTTGATAAGAGGTGAGCGAGGGGCAGACTCGGTGATGGCCATGACCTTTACATGTTAGAGGAGCTACAGTGAATGGAGAAAGCTGACACCTCCTGTGCAAAGGCACAGATATATTCTGTCTGCCTTAAACTTCATGTTGTTGTTACCCCCCATTCAGTACTCTTGAGTTTAGAGCAATAAGGCAGTGGGTAGAAATAGTGAGTGGCTGTCTTTAAGAGTAGAGATTTCTGCTTTGTGAAGGTTCTTTCAAACTGATAGATGTTTCTGTTTATTAGTAAAGCTTATTAGTAATCTGCCAGTGTACAAAAATCAGCAAAACTGAACATTTCTTCACTCTCTATCTTCTAGGTTTCAGAGTAATAATTCTCTTGCTAGAGAATGCTTGAATCCTGAGAGTGGTGGTGTTTATATGTACTCAAGGACCAGGGAACTTTGTGCATTAATTCAAGGTGCACTGACTGTGATTTCACTGCAATTAATACCTAGCCTTCCTTTCTTGTGTAGAAGTAAATTCCTAGTAGACTGAGGTAGGACATCTACCTTGAGCCATATACCTCCCACCTGCTTAGGGGTTTGCAGAGTAATAAATAGAGAAGAAAGGCCTCTGGAGCACACTGATTATATTTGGCTTCCTTCTAATTGGCTTCCTTCCTAAATCCATTAAAGATTTTTTTTATTCAAGTAGCCATCTAGAAGCTGTTTTCCTGGCATAGTGACATGTTCCATAAACTAGTGTGTGTTAAATCACAAGTCTAGAAGTCAGAGTCCTGATTTCCAGTTAGAGGTTTATTTAACATTGGGCAAGTTGTTTTATTACATCCTGCCTCTATTTGATTATTCTTAGAATAGATGAGCACTTAGGTCATGAATATGAGCCTTTTTAATATGGGTCACTGCCTCTTCCTACTATCAGAGTTAGCATACCAACATGGAGCTGAATATCCTCTATTAATTGTTTCTATTAGGTCAAAAAGATCTTCTCACCCCTTGTTACAGTGGAGAACAGCCAACTGGGTCCTTTGGACCTGTAAATCCCATTTTGAATACAACTTATGACTTCATGACAAAATTCTTCAAAGAGATCAGCAGTGTATTTCCAGATGCATACATTCATTTGGGAGGAGATGAAGTGAACTTCGATTGTTGGTACGATGACAAAGAATAAATATCTAGTGCCTCTTATACTTGCCTAAATCCATCAATCGTGGAACTCGATTGTGTCAGACAGTTTTCACTACTTAACCCAAAGTTCTCCACTCCTACTTTAACTATTTATACAGGTAGAGCATTTGTGATCCTCAACAAGCAAGTGATGTTGTGCAGAATTTTGCTTTGACTAGTAGTTTCACAAATGTTCAGGCACTCTGAAGGATTTCTATATTAAAAGTAACCTGTCAGGAAGGAGAACTAGTATGGTAGAAAAGTACTGTATAAGATAATTAACATTTAGATGCTTTGTGTTAAAGGAAAAACAGTTCTTTTCATTGAGTTCTGCCTTCCAGAAAATCTGCTAACATTAAGTACTGACTTTAGCATGCTTTTATTAAAAGCATGGCGTGTATAATAGAGTTCTTCAATTGGTTGTGGATTTTGAATATTTTGTAGTCTTTCTGTTGGAGTAACTACTAATACAGAGTTTGGAGCAGATCTAATTGGATGAGTATTCAGACTGATCTGGTTAGTATTTGTGCCTTTTCTTGAAACATCAAATCTGAACACTCAGGACTTGCTTTAATTTTTAAAAAGTAAGAAAATTTCTGGCAAATGCTTTATTACAAAAGCGTGTGTTTGCTTTTGGGATATTTTCCCAAATTCTTGATGTCACTCCTGCAGATCCCCAGTTACTATGGCTGCTCAGTTTCCAGACCTGCTGGCAATCTTCCCACAAAGTCGCAGAGAAGCCAAGAACACCAGAGCTCTTAAGAGCTTGAGGCAACCTACCAGAGACTGTTTCAGAACAGGGATTCCTGTAGTTCTACCAGAGAAGTAGGACTATTGGCTTTATTTCGGATCAGGATGAAACTGTTTCAAAATAGCTAAACCATGTTAGCCTGCTGCTTCTGCTCTGTTGTGCATTCCAGGCTATGGTGTGTGTGAGGTGTCAGCTAGTGTGCAGTGCATAGGTGGAAATGGTTGGGAAATCTGGTTTAAAACAAAACAATGTTTGATCCTTTTTTTTTTTTTTTTTAACTTGTTTTGTTGTTATTATTTAAGGAAATCTAATCCTGAAGTGAAAGAGTTCATGAAGAAGCAAGGATTTGGCACTGACTATGCTAAACTGGAATCTTACTATATTCAGAAGTATGTTATTTTTAAATTCTGAGGTGAAGATAATGAAGCTGGTTTAGGTTAGCCTATATTGTTTTCAAAAATTGCCATATATTGAGGCCTACTGACTTTCTTTTATTTTAACACACTGAATGTAATAAAGTTCACAGATTTAAAATGTGGGACATGAGGATAGGTAGGCTAGTTCTATGCATACTGTGGATGTAGTGGGACTAGGTATCTGCTGTCATGTCAGCACACAGGGTGGGGTAGAAAAGTCCTGAGGTTTTTGCAGCCATTTATTTCTTGTTCTTAAACAACATAGATTGAGACATCTGAGTGAATTGCTGATAGTTCTGAACATCAGTTTGTGTTACTGCACATGTATATCCTCATATATGGGAGAACATGCTTTTTGAGACAGAACACTGAATGCCAAAAGCAGAAAAAACCTGGTTTTTCTTGGTCCCCTGTGCAGTGCTGAGAAAGGCCTTGATGTGCCTTAGGGTAGAAAATGTTGCTACTTTGTGTATCTTTACTGATCTCATTGAAGATCACAAACATCATCTTATTTCTAAATTCTAGGATTTTGGATATTGTTTTCTCCTATAACAAAGGATACGTGGTCTGGCAAGAAGTGTTTGATAACAAAGCGCAGGTGAGATGGGAAAACAAATAAGATACTCTTGCATAACATCACAATATTGTGGGAGGCTTCCAGAGTAGACTATTAAGTAGTTATGGTTGTGTCTCTTAAGAGTTAAAGCAAGAAGTCTGCTGACTTTAGCAAATTTTCCCATGTGTGGGGCCTGCCTTCAAATTATTATTTATTGAACATGTAAAATAGGTGGAGCAGGAACACCAGCATTGAAGTGCTTTCTAAAGGTGAACACAGGTAATATAATGTGCTTTAGAGCATCAGAGTAAAAGTCAAGGAAGTTTCTATGAGTTTCCACACTTTTTTTTTTTTTTTTCTTTCCTTACATAACTGCTCCTGGTCTAGTGATGCCAGGTGCTCAGGTTTTCAGAGCTGGTCAGGTAACTGGTGCCTGTAGGAACCCTCTTAGGGCATTAACTGCCTATAGTATAACCTAGACTTCACTCTAGTGTGAGCTCTGTTCAAAACCAGCCAAGAGCTAATCAGCTTGACTCTGGGGCAGGAAACAAAAGGTAGCTTCTAAAACGTTCCTCTTCAAAACAGAATACCATACTCCCAGTTTTGAAATCCATCATCTGTTTTCTTGATAACAGCAATTACTATTGTCTTTAATGTTCTGAGGTTTTTTCTGGTTTGTTTTTTTTTCCCCCCCTTTTAGCTGAAACCAGACACTGTAGTTCAAGTGTGGATGGAGAACAACTATGCTCATGAACTGAGCAGTGTCACTGGAGCTGGGTTTACTGCTATCCTGGCAGCTCCCTGGTACTTAGACTATATCAGTTATGGGCAAGACTGGAAGAAATACTACAGCGTTGAACCGCTTAACTTCCCTGGTTTGTTACTTTTTTATACGCATGTTCTGTGTGTGAAAGTTTTTGCTTCATAGTAAGGTGTAAATGGAAAGAATAAAGCTATTGAGAGTGGTCATGCAGTCACTATGATCAGATACGCTGTAATCAGAGGACTCTGTCAGCCAGAACTCTCGAAAATTCTCAAATAAAAAAAGATGCAACTTTTCACTTCTCACAGAGTGTTACCTTCCTCAAGCATCTGGCACTGGTGTTTGTGCGAGATGGGATGCTGGACTAGGTGGACAGATGCATAATGCATTGGAGGCAGAGTTGTGCAAACTGGTTGTTGATAGACATTAAATTCGTATGTCAGCAAGCTTCTAGAGCATTAGGCTGTTCTCAGAAAATACATGTTCTCTCACTCTGGCTAAAGCTGATACAAATGTCATATGCTTTCCCAGGGGCCTTCATTTCGTGCAAGGTAGCTCTCAGAGCTGACTGGGGAGAACACCTGACTTCATAGCTTTTTCAAGGCATGTTCTATGTGTGAAAGAATTGGGACTGAAATCTCTGAAGAATATCAGGAGGCTGAGTAATGTCTTCAGAATGTCCTTTCTGAGAGAGGAGGAAAATGGGTTCTCTGGACAAATGGCCTGGTGGTTCTCATACGCAGTAACAAGACTACCAAAATGTTAAGTTAGTGCTAGGATAGATACTTTATATGATAAAACAAACAACTGCACATCAATCCTGTCTCAGTATGGGAAAATTATATTGTTGATATATGCCCATCTTCTGAGCCAATATAAATTCTAACTTTCTTCTTTGAATTCAGGATCTGAAAAACAGAAAAAGCTCTTAATAGGTGGAGAAGCCTGCCTGTGGGGGGAGTTTGTGGATGCAACTAACCTCACACCAAGATTATGGTATGAACTACTTTATTGGATTTTAGAAAGCCAGCTACAAGGCACATTAATGAATCCCACAGGACTGTATGTTAATAGTAACAGTGCTCTGTGCTGTACCTGAGCAGCTATAAAAATTGATGCTTCTGGATCTATAAGACCTGGTATTAAAAACTTTAATCCATTCTTGGTTATAGACCATACCTACTCTAAAACTCAGTGTATCTTGACAGGCCTCGAGCAAGCGCTGTAGGGGAAAGACTCTGGAGCAGCAGGAATGTGACCAACTTGCATGATGCCTATAACAGACTGACTAATCATCGATGCCGCATGCTCCGGTAAGGTTAATAGCTATAGTAAAGCTTGGTTCTCGTGCCTGATAAACACTGGAGTTCAAGTACAGGGTTAAACTGCTGGGAGGAGAGCTAGCAAGCTAATTTGACTATATAAATGCCACATTGTGTGTTTTTCTATCTTCAGAAGAAGAACAGATACATTGACAGGAGTTCTAGACAGCTCTGCAACTAACATTTTCAGAACTCACTAGCTTCAGTGAAATACTAGAATTTGTATACCCATCTCTTTCCTCTAAAGGAAAAAACAACATCATAACTGACTTTTCAGACAAAAAAAGATATTACAGGGTATGTGGGAGGAGTACACAGACAGGAGAAAAAGTAGACTTTTAAAAAAAGTTGTTGTTATGGATAATAATTAAAGAGCTACAGCAGGCAATCAAGTGAGTGGAGCTGTTTGCATGAGAAGTGAGCTTGAGCGCGCTATTCTTTCAGATATTCCCTAAGTGTATAGGGACTGAAAGGAGTAGATGAGGAGTCCCTGATAAATTTTAATTCATTTATGACTACTGTAAACAAAGTCAGTAGTTCATAACATTCTTATTTGCAGTTCTTTCCTAAAAAGTACCTAGACAAGTTACTGGTTAATTATTGCTAATGCTGTCTTTGTATATTCACAGTTGTAGCAATTAGTGATTTCTAGGTTGTAAGTCCAAGTTTGACTCCACTTTTAAATGTATACGGTCAGAGAGCTTTTTAGGTTTTCCCAAAAGCTGCTGCAAAGTTGGACTGCAGCAAGAATGCAACATGACATTTAATTTCTCTACAAAAGTTTATGAGAAGTCATTGGAATTCCCAACAGCGTGAAGTATTTCAGGGTAGATGCACATCAGCTTTTTAGAGAACCAGATACAATGGCAGTTACAGTCAGCACTTAAAACTCAAGTGCTCTGCTCATGTTCCTGTAGATGTTTTAGCATGATTATCTGTTAGGATCACTGACTTTCAGCTTGCAGTATAAACTAGCTCTTTAATTAATCAAGAATGACTGAATTCTCCTAAGTTTTCACTTGTTTATTTCAAGCTGGCTTAAAACAATGCTATAGGAAAATAGCTATGTGTAAATTTGTTATCTTCTTCAGTCATGAGAAAAATAAGATAGATCGAGAGAGTTAACAAATACATGTTAAATACAAGATTAAAGGGCTTTAAAAGCTATCACTTAGCAGGATGGTGTGTCTCTTGATGGGGCTCAGAAAACACTGGTGCAACTGGACAGTGAGGCCTACAGTGGCTCTACCTCTAGGATTTGGGTTTTACAGTGAACTAAGCCTAAGCCATATTGCTTCTGGACCTGGTTAACTATTGCTGCATCTCCATCTTCTTCCTTAATGCTGGCACTTGTACAGCTGCACAGAGATCTGATCCAGGTGACTGCAGCTGCTCTGGTAATGCCAGCAGAAGAGATGCAGAATGCAGGGCAGGCTAAGGACTACTCCCTGTACTTGTTGCAGAGTTTTTCCTTAAACTACTTTCTGGTGCTAAAATGGCTTTGCTGGCTTATAAACTTATGGAGAACAATGCCTGTTATAGGCAGACTCCCGTAATAAAAGGACATGTCCTCCTGAAAATGATTGCTTTTATATAGGCTTTGAACCAGAAAAACACTAGAGAAGCCATTCCCTTTCCACTGATGAAATAAGCTTTCCTTGGAGCTGCAGTTCTGTCATGTTTCAGATATAGGGGGCCTTCTTCACGTTGTGTGAACTCAAAGAGCTGATTTCATCAGTCAGGCGGTTGTAGAGTGTGGGCAAAGGACTTTTTTTAGCATTTATACATATAAAAATATTTTTATATATGGTATATCCAGACCATGGCAGCTGTAGCAGGCCAAGGAGCCTTTCCAAGTAGCATGAACAGCTCTGGCTTGCTCTGGAGCTGGGTGGCAGGGAGTGAAGAAATGGGTAGGTAGAACTTTGTAACGGCTAGATCATGGTCACTGGAAGAACAGCAGCTCTGCCTACCCAAGGCCAAGGCCACAGCTGTTGAAACAGTACCGGAAAACCAGTTGCTGCTCTTCAGATCTAAACTCAGCTTCCTGTAGGATACAGAGAAACGGTGATGGGAGAAGAGAAACAAAAAGGTGGGCATATATTCCAGAGACCTAGACAACAACCCTGTCTTCTACACAGAGACTAGGTCTTGCTTAAGGGCAAGCAACAGTTCAGCTGAGCTATTTCATTCTCCAGTTTCTTCCATTGCAGCTCTTAAGTGCAATGTAAACACCAGTTTATATTAGCCTACAACTCACTGTAGCAGTACTATCTAGCTCTCAAATATCCAAAAAGCAGAAATTTGACAAGTACTTTAACTCTGAAACATATTTTTATACAATCTTACTGTACCATCTTAAGCTACAGAGTGGGGTTGGTTGTTTTTAAAGCCAAGTGAGAACTGAGTAATTGATGATAATGTAGCTGGAAAAAATCCTGTTTCCTAAACTGGCTCCCTAAAAAAATTACTGAAAATTACATAGTTGGAGCTGCATATGAAGGAAACATTGGATTTGGGGCTAGGGTAGTGTGAAAATATCAACTAATTCATTTTTTCACATTCTTATGACTTCTCTTCACTAAAAGTAATAGATTTTACAGAGCATCAAGACAACTAGCCCCTGAATTTAAGCTTTTCAACTTGTTTTCTTATATCCTGGAACACTGGATTGAAACCGGCAACTGTATTTAACTGAAGTACAATCAGTGGTAGATCAGGGCCCTTTTTTACTCCCTCAGTAGGCCATCTGTTATTTCCTGGAAGTAGTTTTGTTTACACAGAGATTAAAATAGGGTGCTAGTATCTCTCTTCTTGCCTATACCACCAGCCAGTTGCTTGATTATAATTGCACACATTCTTCTTTAACAGCCGTGGCATAGCAGCCGAACCTGTGTTTGTTGGGTATTGTGCCCATGAAGCAAGAGGGGAGTAGCTGCTGCAAAGACGTCTAGTCAACAACCTGAAGTGCCTCTGGGGTATGAATGTATGTACATGCAGTTTGATATCTGAACCAAAACTTAAAATTTTCACTTTCAAAATAAAGTTATTATTTGACATGCTTCTTGGAGTAAAAATAATGAGGTTTAGCTTTCATTAGATGTAGAGATTCTTCACTGTGAGATCCTGAAACTTGATACCATAGTTACCAATTCCAGTTTCCTTATATTCTAAATTTGAGGGGAAATGAAGCTAAGACACTATTTAAATAAAGAGCAAATGATCTTTTTATTTCAGAGTATCTTATTTGTCACTTTTCTATGTAACCCAGTAACTGCAAATTAGAACTGTTACAACTTCAATCACTCATGCCTAAAGGTCAAAAAAAAAATCCTCCCTCAACATAATTTAAGGTAGGGATCACTGTCCTGGGAGAACTCTGCCTTTCTTGTATTTTTTTTTTTTTTTTGCACAGATCTTACTCAGTTGACAGAAGCATCCATTCCACTTATTTGCTAAAGCAAACTCAGGTAGAAGTTACCCCCAGTCCTGAACTCTGATTCAAACTGGTTTCTAATGGTACAAGAATACTTGTAGTTGTGCAGTTTAAAATGCTTATTAACCATATTCTTTTATTCAGCTGAAAACAAACCAAGATACAGATGGCCAAAGCTGTAAAGTTATTTCATTTATAGACTTAGACTTCACAGACTTTACTTACTAGAGGAATTAAGGTGCACTTAATGCTCACTTGTATGAAAAGGATTTGTATCACTTCTCATTGCAGAGATCTGTAAGATAAGAATTTGCAAAGCACCAAGTTGTGGTTGCATCTCTGGTTCAGCTGCTTTGCAATTAGAAGGCTGTGCTAGAAGAACAGTCTCTGGAACCTCCCCTTGAACAGTTAAAAGCACAGTCTTCTCATACAGCTTCTTATTCATCGTTTACCACAACCAGCTGGTCCCAGAAGAATGTGCTGGTGTACCTAAACAGGCTCCTGAAAATACTTAACAGGGAGGATAGAAATTATCTTTACTGTTCTACAGAGTAAAGCCATCATGCCAACCCCATCCTCCGTTGAAGAAGTGCGCTTTGCTCTTGACTGTTCAAAGCTTGATAACTAGCAAGCTCCAAAGTGAAGGTCGCCGAGCCTGATGTTAGAGAACGCAAAACTGTTGAGTAGCCCTGGACAAAATGGAGAACACACGTCACTCAATTTAGGATAAAGGGAAGATAAGCTAACACAGAAAGTTGCTTAGGTCACTGAGAGAGAGTCAGAAATATACTGCAACATACTAGTAGGTTAATTTTTTAATAATACTGCATTACAAGTGCAGTATGTACATGAGTCAATCTAATAATATACTTTCATAAAACTATTCTCTGTAAAACCTGTTTTAGTAGTATTTACTACTTCTCTGACTTACAGTTGAAAACAGGCTGGCTTAACAATCTGAATCAGGCACAAACCCACTACTAGATTTGCGATCATTTACCTCAGACCTTCAATAATTAAAACACAATAAGACACATTCATTCCAAACTTACTTTTCCTGTTTTTACCGATTAATAAACAGAAGCCTAATTATTTTTAAGCATATAAAAGATCAGATTTGCATTTTACTATTAATAAGATAATCACATACCATCATTTCTGCTAATGGAACAGCAGCAACCACAACTCTGTTATCTTGACGACTCTGGATTTCCTGAACACTACCTCTCCGCTGTGCAAGGTCAGCAAGCGCTGCACTGAGATGATCTTCACTTACTGTGATTTCTAGGTTCATCAGTGGCTCCAGTATTTGTATACCAGCTTTTTTCAAAGCCTACATGGAAGGGGAGTTATGTTGACCTTTTTTTTTTTTTATCTGCAGAAAATTAACATAATAAGTACTTACATAACTCAAGCTAATACTGCCTCAAATTCTCTACTTCCAAAAACTATAAAGACCCCAGTGAGGGCATTACACTGTCAGAGAACAATTACCAACTATTGTGTTCTACAGCAGCTTAGTTTCACTGTACCTTTTGCATGCAACGGGAGACACAGGCTGACACCATTGTATGAGAGGTCTCAGGATGCACCGTCAGTGATTGTACTGTAACATCTATACCCTGAACTGGGGATCCAAGCAAGGGCCCTAGGGGGGAAAAAAAAAAAAGCCACACCAAAAGCACATTTGTTTTTCAGAACATTAACACACATGCAAAAAAGCTGCAGGGTTAATTTAGAGCTTCTCACTTCCTTCCTTCCTTTATCCTTCCCATGAGCACTGGTCTTGTTCCTCATTTTGTGATTTTGTCATTATGCACCTTTGCCAGAAGAGACAAATGAATGCTGACCCAAACTTTCTTATTCTCTTTACCAAAAGTACAGATAATTTTCAGAACCGAAGTTCCCAAGTATGCTCATCCATACAATTGTTCCCAAAAACAAAGTTATTTTTTAATACATTATAATATCTAAAACTTGTCTATTGAAACAACAACTTATTTGAACCAGAAGCCAGATACTTTTCTTTTCAACACAGTGTGATCACAGCAAAGCCCAATACTAACCCACTACCAAAACTGCAGGGTTAACTCAATTCCATGACGTGACTTCTACCCACGTCTAGTGTCCTAGCTAGGTTATCTCCCTCCAACCCGGCAGTCTGAACCAGACCAAAAACTGTATTAGACTGGATGGGAGGCCTGAACCACAGAAAAAACACATAGCTTTTTTACTACAGAGAACGTAGCCGCGTCTGTTGTTTGATTTGGGGCTTTTTTTAAGCACTTAATGGTATGAATTTTAGGCTGAACACAGCACACTTCTGAAGTGTCTTTAAGGAGTGTGAAGAGAGCATACAGTCAAGACTCATTCCACAGCCAGAGATGAGAGATGCTTTTCAGTTCAACAAAGCAACATGGAAAAAACACCTCATGCTGCTGCTTCTAGAGTAATTCTCATTTATCAATCTGCTGCCTGTTAATTTTATTGTAAGGGAGAGTTCTTTGGCCACAAGTTATTAAATACTTCCTATTTTTAATCAAATGTAAAGGATGCTTTTAATCCTTTAGAAAGCCTATACTTTGCCATTTAACGTATCTGAAAATCAAAAAAATAATAACTCATATAGAACTGTAGTATGTACATGTTGGCCTCAAAAAAACACTTCTGTCACATCACTGTGGTTTATGTGATGTCAAAGAAACACCTTATCTCTTATAGCAGATTATAATACAAACTGAAAGAATCCCAACTTCACTGTTGAATGACTGAAAAGGAATCAACCTTAAAACCAAAGACATGCTGACTTCCATTCCTGGCATAGGGAAAGGAGTATTTGGCAATTTTTGTAGTGAAGGAAATTTCAGAATTTTCCTTTGCATCTAATGTTAAGATGTACTATCTTTTAGTTTTCAAGCTACCAAGGAGTTTTTCCTCCTAGAAACATATTAAATTGCTTCTTACAGAAATGTTAGGCCAGTGTAACTGTCATAGCACTTCCTTTACCTTGAATGCATGAATTCGTGATTCCATTTTCTACAGCTCCTTGCAGTTCTTCGTGTAGCACTTCAATGACACTCGCAGCATACTCAATGACAGGTTTTGTCATTGCTCTCTCCCCTAACCTGGGCCTCACCTCTAACTCTGCAGTTACAAAGTGTCTTTTATCTCCTACTGTTTTGTCTAATATGTCTGCAGGAGAAAAAAAAAAAAAAAAAAAAAAAAAAAAGGAAACCATGATTTGGAAAAAGACCCTAATACAAACTTCACCTGAAAGTTAATAGTAAGATCATTTGAAGTAAATCATGCTATAAAACCAGAAACAAGATATCCTTCCATTCACTCATTCTACCTGTAGCTTGGGCAGCATTTAGGATGGTTTCTCTGTATGCTATTTGAAGAGGTCCCAAGTATGTCTCAATGCCATATTCACGTTTGATTCGGTCATGAATGATCTCTATGTGTAGTTCTCCCATGCCACAAAGAATAGTCTAGTAAGAAGAGAGTTAAGATAGAAGAGGAAACACATGCAAAACTCGAGTTTTAATACAAACTGTTTAAGCAAGGACTTGCATGGTCATAACAGTCTCTTAGAAATATTTCAAATTCTAAGGGACCTAGAGAGAAAATGAGACTGCTTTAGGTCATCTGACATAAACACCACATAAGTGAGAGGGTAATTACCAGTACTGACCACTATTAAAAAGGTCATCTTACATTACCTTAAAGAGTATATAGTTCAAACATTTTAAAATACAGAATTGTCAAAAACATGCAGAGCACAGGATGGCTTCCTCTACTCTGCAAAGCACAAGTGCACAAGGCTCCATTTTAGTTTGATGCATAGAACTTGGTACATATACAATATGAACATCTTGAGTCCTTTTTATTCAAGAAAATCTCAATGTGTAAATGAACTAACTGAAGGGTGGTCCTGACTGTTCTAAAATAAAGCTTGGTTATAAGGTGAACTATAAAAGGCTTATCTTACCTGTCCTGTGTCAGGATCTATCTTCACTTTTAAACTTGGATCTTCACGCTGAAGGCAGCTCAATGCATTATCCAAGTCTGTACAAAAATATCAAACATAATATCTAAAAACACTTCAGTAGTTTGAGAATCAATGAATGTCTAAACATCACTTTACTCATCAATCTTACTCTCAGAAGGAATCAAAAGGATCCTAGAGAAGCACAGATGTTGGCAAAGTCAACTCAAATTATAAGCAATTTGCAACTTCTGATTCTATCCCACAAATTAGCTGCACACTACAGAGTACTTATTTAATTACTGAACATACCACTTCCAGAGTGGTATTTTGTACTTTCATGAAGATAGAATGAAACTTGCAAGTGCTTCATCAAGTCAATAAAAAGTACTGCTCCCTTTTTACAGACAGGAAAAAATAGTCAACCAACTTCTTACAGGATTTGCCTAAATATTTCAAGATGAGTTCAACATGAAAAGGTTCAAATGCAAATGTTTTCTTTTCCTGATTTCCCAGTATGTTAACTGCTGAGGAGAGCAGCTACAGAATGATAAACTCACAGATGAGACTGCATTTATCTATCTTGCAGTCTTTGGAAAAAAAAAAAAAACAAACAAGAACAAATAAACAAAGAAAGAAAATAATATCCAAACCCCGCCAAAAGCAGAAACACCTCACAACCCAGTGGCCCAGCCTGCAAACATGTTCCAAATATGTGCTCTACCTTGCTCCATTCCATCATGCTACACTGGTAGTTACGGTAGTTATCCTTACTCCTCTTCACCCCCAACCAAGCTCAGCTTTGTTGGAATGAAGATACAGAGTTTAAGGTATTTATTTACAAAAAGAGTGAAATAACCAAGCTCTTTAGTAACAGATTCTTGGAAAAGGGAGTAAGATTACAGGTCACACTTCAGGGGGTGAACCCTAACTAGACACAGAGAAATCTTGGTAAGTGAAAACTTTACACCACAGAGTAAAACTGCAAGTGCCAACTGAAAAAAACCAAGCCACCACATTTCAAGGTTAATTGTACTTAGAACTCTGTGTACAGCACACCAGTGTGACTGCAGCAAAACTAAGCATGACAGTAGGAAATAAAAGTGTCTCCATCACTTCTTTCAAAATAAAGAACTACTACCTTCCTAGACATAAAAAGTAGAAAAGTACTAGTACTAGTACTGCTTGATGTAGTAATAGCAAAGGATACTAACAACCACGATCTAAAATATATCATCTGTGCAAAACACCAAAATGGGCCTTATTAGACCACTGATTGATAAATCTGTGCAAGTCACTCATGTCAACCAGGTGTGCATGGACTGGGGACAAGCAGTTCCTTACACAGGAGAATATGGCTATGCTTGAATATTTCATTTGTAGAATATCTTATTATATTCTCAGGTAGCTACGTTGTACCTTGTTGTTTGGCCACTGAAGGAGGTTCAATTGTACAGAAGAAGACAGGGTCAGGGATCTCAACGCCTGCCAGCAGAAGGCTCTCCACGTCACTGGTAGTCATCTTCGCTCCTTCAGCATCCCTTCCAGCTCGGCGTGCTGCAGCTACTGCTGAAGCCTTTGATGACACTATTGTATCTCCAGTGGCACTCTACAGATCAGCACCCAGTGACCCATGAGACACAGGAAGGAATGTGAAAAAGAACCACCAAAAACCAAAACCACCAGAAATCAAACCCACAAACCCTGACCACTTGTATTCCTTAAAACTATTGGTGCTAAATTCCACTTATTCATGAACACTTACTGTAACTTCTCTCTTCAAATAACTAATATGATCTGGAAGATGAAAAACTGTGCTCAAATATAGACTAACATTTCTTTGTCCACTTCACTGCATTTTAAATCTAATGAACCACTCAAGATACAAAGTCACGAAGAACAGTATTGGTAAAGTAAATTTGATTATGCATGCCAAAGTTAGTTACATTTTAGTAAATCTGTGCAAATGAGATCTATGCAGCCTGTTCAGACAATAAAACACTGAATAAGTAAGCTAACAGAAGCAAGCATGAGACAAAGTTATTTGAACTTAAACCTTTGCTTTTGGCTAACTTATTTGGAACATCACTCTCCTTCCCCACAGGAACTCTCTCCATGGCATTACATTGCATTTTAAGAGTTACAATAGAAATACAAGCTCAGAACCCTAGTAAAATATACCTTTGGTTTTCTGTCCTTTCCGTGTAATCAGCACTGCATCTCCCAAGTCAATTACTGACATGTGTACATTGTAGTATTTCGTTTTAGGAGGAAGCAAGTATATGTATTTCAAATACAGCAAGTTTACATATGTCACAATAACCAAGAACATGGCTGAGCTACAACACCAAAGAAGTAGAAAGCACACTGGTGAAACAAGCTCTCTTACAGAATCAGTACTTTCCATTACCTGTTTTAACCCAACAGTAAGGGCAATGTTGCCAGGCATTAGTGTTGGTATTTCAATTTGCTGATCAGCAAAAGGCAGGAGCAGTCGGCTCATTCTCTCTCTGAAAATGAAATTATTGTATTACTCAGGACTTTAACAGACATTCCAATGTTACACTAAACCACATCTCTATCTTACTCACGTGCAACCTTTGTTAATGTTATATACAGCTGACTGAGGTTTCAGTGAACCTGAGTAAACGCGAATGAAAACTAGTGGTCCACGACATTTATCATGGAGAACTTTGAATGCTAGGGCACACAGGTCATCCTTGTACCACTGTCTACAAAATAAAAAGCACAACAAAAAGCATACTTGTAGCATTAATCCACTCACATTTACCTACATTTCCACTAATTTAAGAAGCAATATGTTTCTTACTGTAAAATTAAGGAGGCAGATTTTTTTAAATCATAATTTATACCCCCAAAAAATATTAACTTTTAACAGTTCCAGCTCCAGTAGGATACATAAGATGTCATATGACTCAGCCAATAATAAAGATGATCCCTAGACCCCGATTTTGAAGAATGGCAATATTGTCAAATTAAAAATAAGACTTTAGAACTCCTAAGTGCAGGTTTGACAACTGAAGATAACTTCATACAATTTCAGTTGCACTGACCAAAAAATGTATTTTTATGTCTACACATCTTTACTGTTATTTAATACCTAAAAGAGTAAACTTTTTTAAAGACATGGATGCTTTCTTAGTATTTTTCATTTTATCCTTTTATGGCTTCCTATTTATTTTTCCTTTTTTCTGATTCTTCTTTTCTCTTTGTACTTACAGGAACTCATATGAACGCTCATTAGGTGCAGGCAAGTACATAGTAGTAGCATCCAGTAGTGGCTGCACTCCTTTGTTCTTCAGTGCACTTCCACAGAGTACAGGTACCGCCTTCTGAGCAAGTGTGACTCTGCGGATAGCAGACCGTAACTGCAAAAAATAATTATTTCTTTTTAACATGTGAACTACAATTTAGCCTTAAATTGCATTCCAGCTCTCAAATATTGCTAACAAATCCCCCAAAGTTAAAAGGTATGTTTGCAAATATAACATCACTTATCCAAACTACTTTCACTGCTTTTAATGAGCTCCAAACCATAAACCCAAATGTTTAGATGCTAAAACAAAAGACACCGCTTTTTCAGATTTCTAAACATTTCATGCAGATCTGCAGCTGTTCTTACTCTTTTTCTACAAGTCCTTTTAATGCAGGATGCTGTATCTCACCACTTTCAACACGCAATGTCTTGAAGATACAACCAATTCATAGCAGTTGAGATGCTACTTTTGTTAGTAAGAATCAGCAGCTCGGACACAAACCGTACTGACTCTTCTGGAAATTCCACTAATTTTTCCCTAAACACTTTCACAGCAGCCTAGTGAAAAAAGTTGTTTGTTTTTTTTTTTTTTTAAAAAAAAACAGAACAAAACAAAACAAAACAAAAAAACACAAAAACAAAAAAACCCCACCTTCCTGAAGAAAGGTATGCTAGAGTTGTGCCTAGCATGTCTGAGAATCATACTTAGTGCATAATCATATAAAATTCATACTAAGCTTGAATATACTTTCTCCTAAATTCACTGTACTGTAAATTTGCTACAAAAAGTGGTGTGATTTTTTATTTTTGTTGATAAAAATACCCTTATTCAAAATCATAGTCTGCACATGCCAGGCCAGCTCTTCAGAAAAAAATCTAGTAAAAATTTGTTTAGATTAATGAAATGTAAAAATTACCTTGTCAGCCGGTATTAAGTCAAAATTTTCACTATATTCTCCTAGAACCAGTTCAGCAAATTCATCATCCAGATCTGCAACCTTCAACAGAATAGTTCATTATTATTTGGCATACACCAGTTTCACAGGTAAGTCACTCTTCTTAGTTATTTAGGAAATATAGATAAACAGAGCAGGAACAAAGCCTTTAAAGACATCAGAGATCATAAACTCAAGCCACAGAAAATTACAGAAATGAAGGTTTCAAGAGAGGATGGGGGGGAAGCGGAGGGAGTGAACTCATAAAGCTGCTGTCAGGCAAAACATCAGTGGGAGAGGGAATGCTTGTACTTCTCCCTGAAACTGAAAAAGCCTGCAGCTGTACAGTGACAGCCATGAAGGGTATAACTTAATGTATTTCAGATCTGCCAACAAGGCGAAGTCTGAAGGAAGCAAGTAACCTTTCTGAGCCAACAAATGTTACCATTGGAATAAACACACAAGCCTTCAGGGCATTTTGACCTTCTTCATGGCAAACGCTTGTAGATCCAAGAATTCGTCTCAGTTTTCGAACTGTACCATTCAGCTCAACAAATAAACTCACTACTCTCTAAACCTTGTCTCACGTGCACCCCTGCACTGTCACAGACTCGGGACACCCTAAGTGCAGGAAGGCACTTTGCCCCCTCTAGTGGCTACGACAGCAATCGACCGAATACTGAAATTAATCACTGATAAGCAGTTGGAAGTCTAATCAAGCCAATTGTTAAAACATGAGAGAAAGGAAAGCATTCATTTAATTAAGTGAAAGCAAAGTGTGAAAGATGGCTGGTATTCAAACTACTAAATTTTAGTGTTTCTGACAAGGAGTATTAATAGGATAAAAAGCATATGAAAAAATATTTTAGGAACACAAGTTTATCTCAATTGTCACACTACTGGTCCACCCCTTCCTGCTTCAGGAAGGGCTCAGAAACCAAAAGAAAAAATCCCAACTCTGTTCTACAAAGCCTTCTATCCGACAACACATTTCTTAAGATAAGAGGCTAAGTAATATCATCTGCATTTAAAACATGGAAATTTTGAAAACTAGCTTGTATATGTTTTACTGAACTCAGAGCAATATAAAATGGACCTCTCTGATTCTGATGTTTCAAAGTAAACTGAAAGCCTAGAATCATCTGTTTATGCACCTGCACAATGTTACTCAAAGTTGCATGGAGGGCAGCCCTTCCAGCAAAATGGATCGATATCCAAGATAAACATGGTTGTTAACCTCCTATATTTTTGCTTACAGAAGTATGCATTCAAATGTAATCACTGCTACACTTTTATGTTGTATAAAAGCAAAATGAATGTAAAAAAACCCCACATATTACTTGGAGAGAAGACTTGCTTAGAGTCAAGTACAACCAACTCTTCCAACAGAATTATATAAATTACACAAAATAAAGTGAGACCTTAAAATGCCAAATAATGGGAGAACAGAACACTGGACAAACTCCTTCAAATGTTCTGCACTGCTCAACGGGCAAATTATTCTTTTACTTCCATTAATTCTTCCATTCTTAACCCCTTCTAGACTGTCAACTGTGCAAAACCTGGTATCAAGTAGATTAAGTTTCTTTCTTAGCTTCAGAGTATGACAATTTATGCTAAAGAAATATTTAGACCCTTCTTTTCTCATCTCTCCTGTGGGCTTTTGGGGTGGATCTGGAACAAGGTATATTGTGGGATTCAGCTGCCACTAACACAGTATTTAGTACGATTTTGACTAGCCTGCAACATCCCATCCAGCTTCTAGCTGCCACTCCAGAAGCGTATGGATATCCTGTGGGTTCTGGGTCACATCTGCCAGGCCTTGTGTGAATGTTCCAAGTATCTTTTCACCTCAATGACAGCACAAGATGCTATGTTAGCCAACTGAATGCTAAACCTGCTGTCTGGTTTCTTCAGTTCCCTCTGTATAAAGCAGGAAGTATTTTCCATTTGACACATGTATTGCACAGACAGGGAGGTCCAAGTCTCTATATTCAGCATGTTTTGCCATCATGTATCAGTATTTCCAACATGCATTAGGCATCTTTGACAGACGAAAAGGAAGTGAAGAAAACATGACATTAGTTCGATAAGGGCAAACGCAGAATCTTGCACCTTGTTCAGAACAAATCCATGTGCTGACAGACTGGGGATCAACTTGCCAAGCAACAGCTCTGCAACTAAAGTCAACCAGAAGGTGCTTCTGGACAAGTGAGTCAGCAGTGTCCCCTTCCAATGACAAAAACTAACTGCATACCAGGCTGCATCAGCAAGAGCGCAGCAAATGGGTCAGGGCAAGTGGTTAGTACCCTCTACTCTGCACTTTTGAAACTGCATCTAAAACACTGCCTGCTTTTAGGCTCCCCAGCACAAAAGAGACTGACAAACTGGAAAGTCCAGTGGAAAACCACTAAGGTGGCTGTATTGCAGCTGAAGGCCCAGAGAGATGGGTTTGTCTAACTTGGAGAGGCTACAGGAAGATGCAAACGCTGTCTCTTACTGCTCAAAATGGTGGTGCTGGTGAGCCTGCTCCAGGGAAAATAGAATCAACTTCTTCTGAGAGGTGTGCAAGCAAAGGACAAGCAGCACTGTTGCAGTTTGCAACCCTGTAAATTCCCATTAGGCAAAAACAAATGACGTTTCATTACAAGGATGATCGAGCACTGGGACAGGCTGCCTAGACAGATTGTAATCTCCATCCTCAGAGACTTGAAAACTCAACTGGCAAGGCCTGAGCAACCTGATCCAATGGTGAATTTAGCCCTGCTTTGAGCAGGTCACTGCACCAGACAATTCCAGAGGTTCCTTTCAGCCTATTTTTTCTACTGTCCTCAATAACAGTTTTAAATATATTATGTATTTACTTTAGAACTTTACTTGTTCTATTAAGGTATTTCTGGCATCCTGGACTTCTTGGAACAGGTTGGGATCATCAGCCTCCAGAAGCAGCTTTTGTTCAAAATTTTTTCCATCATCCAAATCAGAAGTAGGTTTCCAAATTATTTGTTCCTTAGTCACAACATCAACCAGTCCTCTGAAGGTCTTGGCTTCCCCAACAGGCAACTGTAAATAGAGTGGAGATTTTAGACAGCTGCACAGAATCGAAACAGGAGTTCCATTCAAGAGAAGGCTAATAAACATTTAATTTCTAAGCTTACCTGCACAAGCAGAGGTTTTGTCTTCAACTTTTGTTTGATACTCTCAACAGCATATGTAAAACTATATAAGAAAAACAGATATTAGGTTACACAAAACTTAATGACATAGTGAAATAGGTTTACCATTCCTTATTTATGGCAAAAATTACTCCTACAATTATGCAAAAATGTGCATCTGCATAATCAAAGATGTATTAACATAGTTGGCTTGCTCTCTGCTTAACAGAAAAACTTTAACTTGATTAGATACATTTTCTTACAAGGTTTTTAGCAATGATCAAAATAACTGTCTAAATACCTTGCCCTGCTTTTATCCATCTTGTTCAAAAAACAAATTCGTGGTATCTGATGTTTGTCCGCTTGCCTCCACACTGTCAGAGTTTGGGCCTAAAGCAAAAGACAAAACAGAAACATTAGTGCTGACAGCTGAACCATCCAGTCCCTGATACCTCTGAGGAACCGAGTTCAGAGTACAGCAGGGAACTGTGCTGAATGTGTTGTGACAATCCCGTATCCAGCAGCACAGCTTTGCTCATCTCTTTTCTCAGCTGTCGTCATTCCCCGTCCTCCACAAGCACAAAGGCCTATGGGCAAGGGAACATGGAGAGAAACTGAGCATTACAGGGGATACATATGGAAAAAGCTCAGACCTGCAGAGACTTAAAGACTTCATTGCCAAGATACTTAAGCATACACAGGCAAGCACTTATGAGGCTACACCTACAACACCAAAAACCACCATGGTTTTGCTAGTAATTTGTGTACTGCTGAGACACTTATGACACACATTTTTATTTGAAAGTCAAACAGGTATGTATGTAAATCAGTTCAGATTCAGAAATAGTCTCTTACCAACACATGAAAATAATGCAAGAATTTCCTACCCAGTTATATAAAAAAAAAAAAAAACAAAAAAACAAAAAACAAAAAACAAAAAAACAAAAAACAAAAAACAAAAAAAAAAAAAAAAACAAAAAACCAAAAACAAAAAACCAAAAAACAAAAAAAAAACAAAAAAAAAACCCAAAAAAAAAAACAAAAATAACCCAAAAAACAAAAAACCCAAAAAACAAAAAACCCAAAAAACAAAAAACCCAAAAAACAAAAAACCCAAAAAACAAAAAACCCAAAAAACAAAAAACCCAAAAAACAAAAAACCCAAAAAACAAAAAACCCAAAAAACAAAAAACCCAAAAAACAAAAAACCCAAAAAACAAAAAACCCAAAAAACAAAAAACCCAAAAAACAAAAAACCCAAAAAACAAAAAACCCAAAAAACAAAAAACCCAAAAAACAAAAAACCCAAAAAACAAAAAACCCAAAAAACAAAAAACCCAAAAAACAAAAAACCCAAAAAACAAAAAACCCAAAAAACAAAAACCCAAAAAACACCACAAGCAGATCTAATTGTTTTGTTGTTGGGGGCGGGGGCTGTTAGTCAGGTCAGGTTCATATACGATGGTACCTAAATGCTTTCCAATAGCAAGTTAAATAATGTGACTCACACTGATCAATAGTTCTCTCATCCCTCACCTAGGAAAACGGTTGGAACACAGTGATTTCACAACATCTAACTTTTCTACAGGACTGAACTACTCCAGCATTTCATGCTATAAAGTCAAATTGCAGTCTGTCTCTACCTTTTCTGCACTACGCCCCAAAGGGCATGTTGAATAGACTGCTGGGGAGGGAGAAACTCTGGCTGAAAATTACTCATTTTCTACATGAAATCTGAAAATCAAAAATGAACAGATATTTCTTTCCGCTGGTGGAGCTAGCCAGAAGCATCCACCTCCATCAATGTTCGTAAAGGACAGCAACAAAACAACAAAAACCGCCCAGACTTTAATGGGAATCCCACCTATTTGCCCCTTATTATTATGAAAATTCCTGTACGCTACAGGACTTGAAATTAAATGTCAGCTTCCCGAAGCTGAATTTCGATCAAAGTATCAAAAGAGATAATACAGAGCAACATCTCTGTACTATTATCATTATTTCAGTCTGAATCAAGTCATTAGAGAAAAAAAAAAAGAAATCTATTAGTTAATTTTACCTCAACACCAGCTGAAGCATCAAACACCGCTACTGCTCCATCCAGGACCCTCAAGCAACGCTCAACTTCCACTGTAAAATCCACATGACCTACAAAACAATCGCCCTTTAATACCACCATAATTCAAACAGGCAACATCAACAGTTCAGTATTTTTTTTTTTTTAATCCTGTCAAAACAACCCTGCCTTCACTTGCAGAGACATATACCCATCAGTCCTTGTAACACGTAAGATTGTTACATTGCAATCCCAGCACTGCAAGCAATTCAGTGTGGAAATGTGTCAGCTCACCTTCAAAGCTAGATTAGGCACCAGCAAACAATAGTTAGCCAAAACTGAACAGAGCTCAGTATAGGCCTTTTTACTGCTGCAATTAAACAAGTTTTAAACATTGTGCCATATCTAAAACTAAGGCTTACATTCTACAGCACCCCACCTCAGGTACTCTCCCCTAATAACGTGAGTACCACTAAAGTGTAGTACCTGGGGTGTCAATCAGATTGATTCTGTAGTCCTTCCAGTCAAATGTAACAGCAGCAGACTGAATGGTAATACCACGTTCTCGCTCTTGTACCATAAAATCTGTCACCGTGTCTCCATCATCAACATCTGTGAACAGGAACCAGGATTACAGTTCAGTAAGTAATTCAAAAGCTGAACTTGTATTGGAATACAGATGCTGAGAGAAATTTGGAAATACTGTTTCTTCTATATATGTATAAGCTATGAAAACTGGCCTTTTTCAGAAAATGGTAACATCAGCTAATTTACCCAGGCTCCCTGTCCAGCGAACAAATGCTCTGTAAGTCAAAGACAAGCAACTCCAACAACGTTTTTTGTTATTCTTACTCCTAGTAACACCATGAGCAACTTAAAAACTAAGGCAAAGTCCAAAATCATGAACAAACTATAATTTAAAAAAACCTGGCTGCAATCATTGTGACTGACATTTTAAAATTTTGTAATTAAAAGGCAATTAAATTAAAACTAAACTTAAGCAAAAAAACCCAAAACAAAACAAAAAGAGGCTCGGTTTTGCTTGTGCTTTTTTTTTATTTTTATTTTTAATACAAAGAGAAGCAGTTCCACATTTTTAAACAAGCAGGCCACCAAGTTCAACCACTCCAGAGGCCTAACATCTCTTACCATTCTCATACACAGTAGAGAACAGGAAATTAAATTTAAAAGGTCAGAAGGTAGCACAAATAGAAGCTGCTGTGGCCCTTTAGATCTTGAAAAATTCTGTGAGAGTTGTTGAAAAAAGGAATTCTTCCTGTGCCATGGCTTTCAAAAGAAATGGTTAATTTTTGTTAATCTGGTTTCTTTACAGGTCAAAAGAGAACTGAAGAAACAGCTTTACCAGAACAGCCAATGAGCAACAAGTGAAACAATGAGAACCTCCAATTAACTGTTAAACAAATTAATGTACTAAATGAAAAATAAGAACCTACAATCTCTCAAAGTCCAGCTGCCTTAGGACGTAATGGAACGTGCATTAAAATTAATTTCACAGTATTGCAGCATAACTTTGGAACAACTGGATTCTATGCTAAGTATTCCACCAGCAACCTCTAACTGCATTGCACGTTACTGTGTACTACTAAATCTCTCAAACTTACTGAAATACGAAAAAAGTATGTCTAACCTCCAAGTGTTCTTATGTATCCAGAATAATACAGCATTCTCTCTGTTGTTGTAGTTTTCCCTGCATCAATGTGAGCCATAATGCCAATGTTTCGGATTCTGCATAAAGCAAAAACATTGCTTTTACTGAGGTAGTTTTTTTATTCAGTGATATTGTTATTTGTATAAACATTAATATTCACTGAGAATAGTATACCAAATGAATAATATTTTTCCTCTGTTGCATATCTGACACAGTGTACAGTCTGATACTGAAGTACATTAGTATTGAAATGGTGGATTTTCTTCAGTAGTACTCAGGAGTTTTGGAACAGGCTTCCACACTTCACTTCAGGGGAAGGCCACTTCTTGGCCTCATTCTCACCCACCTGCCCTCCCCACAGACAGAAGCAGCCCCTCCACCCCCTTGTCCATCCCAATCCCTAACTCCTGGTGCCTGAAACAATTCATAACATATATAGACTTTATGCCCCACATATAACATCCAAATTCCCATTAAATTGACCTTGATTCTGTTCAGCCTAACCTTCCTTTCTGAAGTACCTCACCAGTAGCTTCCAAAACTGCTTCACCAGCTCTGCCCATCACAGGCTTGCCATCAGCCCCCATATTCACCACTAACGCTGGCTAATTCACCCTCAGGACAGAAGTAGTCTTCCAAAGCAACTCCACTGCCAAGCCATTCCTCTGGCAGCAGAATCAGCCCCTAATTACCCTGCTCACGTCACCAAGGCCCTCGTCTAACGTGGCTGAGCGCTCCCGTGAACATAAAGTACAGGGCCCTGCCCTCAGCGGTGGTCTAGCTGCCTGGACATCTCTTCTCCCTCTTTCAGCTCCCAGCAGCCACGATGGATTTGGAGCTTTCCCAAGAGCCCAGTTTTGGTTCTGGTGGTATAAACAAGAAACAGCACAAGACCTCTCTGGCACCAACAACTGTTCTGTATTAAAATGAAGTACTAACTTTAGTTTAAAACACGCACACGAACTATGCATATGACGGGGATAGCAACAACCCACGACTTTGTATCACACCATTTGCTCTGAGTGCCAGTTACATCTGAAAAATAAGCTAGCATGACATACCTGGATATATGAGGATTAATGACAGAACGCAGAGATTTAACATCTCCTGGAGACAAACAAAACAAAACAACAATTTGTAAGACTGATCCCAGTGTGGAAACGGTACATTTAATTTTGTTAAAATCTATTTAAGAAAACTCCTAAAAAGCCTAAAAAAAAAACCAAAACAAAGAAACCTCAGAACCACAACTCATGACAATCCATAATCTCTATCACCTCAAATTTCTAAAGATATGTACTTAACTTTCAATAAATATCTCTCTCATAGAAAAAAGAGAAACTCTTCAAAACAGCTGTAACTCAGAAACAACACGAAAAAGCCAACAACAAAAAGTATCATCAGTACAGTAAAATCTTACTTTGCAGAAGCAATAACAAAACATGACACAGTTCAAGACAACTGTAATGCTGACATTCAAATTTCAAAAGTAATTCCTCCTTTAAACACTGAAGGGACAAAATGCAAACTGACCTAGGTTAAGAAAACATGGGACTGGGAAGTTTTAAACACGTATTTTCTAGAAAGGTATTTCCTCTCTTGCACCCTATTTAGTTGGAAAATAAGCTGCCAAGCTAAATTTTTATGAAACTAATCCATAATTCACTCAAATTATTTAAATTGTTTCAGGAACTGGTTTTCCTATTACTTTAGTTTATCTCTGACAGGCCAAACAGAATTCAAAAATATTTAAACTAACATTCCTTCACCATCTACAGATCATCCCTCTTACCAAAGAGACATTAAAGAGGCATCTTACAGCTTAATGTCTCAATGAGGAGAAAGACTGATCTTAGGAGAAGCAAGGTAGCAGGCTGGAAATTCACCACCACCACCCGCAGCAAATAAAAACTCCAACGAACACTGCCTTTTCCCCTCCAGTTTCTAAAATAACACATTGGTATGTTTGAGATTTCTTGCTTGTCTAAGTCACGGTATCTTCTAGTATACGGAATGCAGCTCTGCCTCCATGTGACACACTGAGGTATTCAGCACAGCAAAACCAGGGATAAATACAGTAGGCAGCAAGGACACTGCATAGACAACTACAAAGAAACAGTAATAAGAAGCAACAGAGCTTGCAACAACATTAGCAACTAAGAGTAAGTGTTCTCAGGTACATGACCACAGGTCAAAAACTTCTGCTGAGATATACAGTGCTGAATCCATTAACAATTCTTAACTTAGAAAGAGAAGCTGGTTACCCGCCAGTTACCAGTATTTTCTTCCTGTCTCCATCCTGATGCAGAAAAAAGCAGCCCTGACTCCCAGCACTACCTTATATCAACTGATTTCCATTTAACCTCTGTGTAGCTACTCAAAAAACAGCAAAAATTTATTTTAACTGAAATTCTCTTTTCCCAGTATCTCATTCTTTTTACTCTCGTTTATGCTGTATCTGCAAAGAAAATACACTAATGATAACTTAAATATTTTATTTAATCAGATTCCTATCTTTCTGCCCTTGTCCAGCATGCTGGATATCATCAGTTACTTGATAATCAATTAATACTTCAGGCAACTGGGTAGGGGATCCAATACACTTCACAAATGACCTGACTTCTTATATATCTGTATTTTTCCTTTTTCTTATTTTCTAAAGGCTTTATACCATACGTCTATTGAGGTAAGAGCAGCAATGCAAAACACTTCTTTTCAGTCCTTGAACCTTTTAACTGCTCTGTTCGTGCATCATACACCAAATTCTGTAAGTAACGACCAAAAGAATAAAATAAAACAATTCTTACTCATATCTAGAGTAATACTCACTATTAAGAAAATAATTCAAACTTATACCTGCTGGAGAACAGTAGTTTCTTAGACTGAAGTTTTGCTGTGTCACACTTATCACTCTCATTTTTGTCTTCCTGAAATACACGTGCTTAAAAGGGAAAAAGATAAAATCACATAGATTATTTATCATTATAAATAATTACTTTACAGCTACATTTTTGCCAGTTGTAGAAAACTAAACTAAAAAAAAAAAATACCTACAGGAACTGATCCTGTTGTTAGATATTTAAATAAGCTCAAAATACCAGCTATTTGGAAGCAGAAGCATGAAAATAGTAGCACCAAGGTTTAAACCAAGTCCAATCCCAGTATTATTTGGGAAGTCCAGTAAAAATCTATGACAGCATCAAAACACGTTGTCAGTAACCACAATATTTCAAATATGTCCAATTATTTGTGTAAGTAACATAAATTTAACAATGACAAGTGTTAGGTAATAAAAGTCACAGACAACTAAAAAGGTTTACAGGAAAATTACAAATTCAGCTTCCATATCCTGATTTATGTGAAGTCCAATTCCAACACAAAACTACGTCTTCAGTTTGTATACCAATTTTTAAAGGAAAGGGGGGGAAAAAAGCTTACTCAGGGTAACTTCTTTTGCTCACAGAAAAAGCATCAAAATCTGGGAAAAAGTTTACCTCACTGCACAAACTTGATGACTTCAGTGAGTTCACCAAAAATTTTCTCGTAATTCTCAACATTCTGGCTCCTGCCTCTAAAGCCGTTCCCTGTCAAGATAAGTAAATATTGTACAAAACAGCTGACTATGTTACTCCCACATAAATCAATCATAACACTTAACTGTTTTTCAAGTCGGATCAGGTGAGTATTTTTCAGGCCGCTGCTCTGCAGGCTAAATCGGTGTCAGATCTGTAAAAATAGTGTTACTAAACCTTAAAAATGCAGCGTAAAGGCATGCCTACAAACGATAAGTGTATTTCTCAGCAAAATCTGCGAGCAGAAAAATTAACATCAGTTTACACTCATGCTCCCGTAAGCTCCGGAGTACCAATTACCGATCAGCGAAGCATCAACGGCTCATCTGATCTCGAAGGAGGAAGCGGGGCAGGGAAAAGCGCGTACTGTGGGCAGGCAGAGCAGAAAACAGGAAAGGCTGTGAGCTTTTCAGCATCGCCAAGACCTCTTCGCCCTGACGCTGCCGCTCCGCAAACCGGCGCTGCCCGCCCCGCCGCGCTGCGAGCTCCCCTCTGCCTCCGGAGGAAGCGTTTAGCGAGGGTTTAACGAGGCCGAGCCTAGGCTGGCGGCGCGGCCCCTGCGGGGACAGCCGCCATGCCACCGGAAAGCGCGCCCGTACTTCCCGTCCCCGCCAGCAGCCCGCCCCGAGTTCCGTCCTCCCGCCCCGACCTGGCAGGCCCAGACGGCAAAAAGCGCCGCTCCGGCGGCTCCCTTTGCGCCGCTCCCCGCTCCTCCGCCCCGCCAAGCCCGGCGCGCACAGCCCCCGGCGGCCGCGGAGCGCCGCGGCCCCGGCAGGCGGAACCGAAGCGCCGCGGGGCAGCGTTTCCCGCCGGGGCAGCTCCGCGGGCGGCCCAGCCCTTTCCTCTTTGGAGGCTGCCGGAGGGAGGGCGCGGGGAGAGGCCGCGGGGCTGCCGCCATGGTGGGAGCCGGGGCGGCGGGACGGGGGTGGGGGGCGGCGGGGCGAGGCGAGGCGCAGGAGGGACGAAGGCAGCCGGGCGGGCCCCGCCGCCCCGCGCTGAGGGTGCCGCCGCCGGGCCGCGGCCCGCCCGGGCCCCCGCCGCGTGTGGCAGCGGCGCCGGGCCCCGCTGAGGCCCCGGCCCCGCTGACGGCGCTGCCTTGTGCCCACAGCCGCAGAACGAGTACATCGAGCTGCACCGCAAGCGCTATGGGTACCGCCTGGACTACCACGAGAGGAGGAGGAAGAAGGAGGGCCGGGAGGCTCACGAGCGGTCCCGGAAAGCCAAGAAGATGATCGGGCTGAAGGCCAAGCTCTACCACAAGCAGAGGCATGCTGAGAAGATACAGATGAAGAAGACGTGAGTACCCCGCCGCTTCTCTGGCACCGCCCAGTCATCCCGTCCTTGGAAGGAGGAGAGGAGGAGTTAATGTTGTTACAAAGAACCGCTTACTGCTCGGAGCATACGCTACGCTTTTAAGTAGCGCTCAGGTTGTGGGAGAGAGTGGGGTTTGACACAGTGAAGACGTTTCTGGTTTCCTCTTTTCTCTATGGCTGTTAACAATTCCGCTTCTAAAAGCGTTCCTTGAGAAAAGTGTTGACTAGCGACAGCAGTGACTAATGTAATTAGGACAAAGATATAAAGGTATTTACATTAACTGCTGTGTTAGTGTAGCAAGAGACAGCAGGCATTTTCTTAACAGTGTTAATAGAAAAAGTACAGTAGTGTACAGAGTGTTTGAGCAGAACATGAGACTTGTCTTCCAGGATAAATGACAGTATCAGGCATAGATAAAAGAAGTTTTTCTGCAGATTTTCTGTTGTTCAGCAGCTGAAATCAACACTGCTAACGGTATTCTTTATTGCTAGTGAGCTTAATATCTTTCCATATCATCCTTGTTGTTTTCTAAGTGTAGGCAGTTATTTGCCTCTGCTACTTCTAAAGGTATTGGGTTTATTAACTAGTTTGTGGGCCATTTTTCTGCTAAATGGCTTCAAAATTAACGAAACCTGACCTCTTTTACACATACACGTTCCTCAGATTTGTAAGCATTGCCATTGAATCTCAAAGAGTAGTAGTAGTAGTATGTTACTTTTTTGTCAGAGAGGAAGGCTACTACTTCTCAAAGTGTTTTAAGTAATTCAAAAATTCCTTAATAAGATGCATGTCTTGTGTTCCGGTCATGATGGGAATTGATGAGCTTTTATGCACTGTGCAGTCGGTCAGTTGTTACATTAAGTAAAATTACTAGTTTACCTTGATAATTATTTAGGATTATTCCTTAAATATAAATACGTACTTCTTTGCAAATATCTCTTAAAAGAAACTTTTCAGCAGGCACAAGCTAAGTTAAAAGGATATACCTGAAAATGAGCTTTTTTTTTTTTTTTCCCTACCCTTAATACTGCTTTTCTTTCCTTGCAGCATTAAAATGCATGAAAAGAGAAATACAAAGAAAAATAATGATGAAAAAACACCTAAAGGAGCTGTACCAGCATACCTGCTGGACCGTGAGGGCCAGTCCCGGGCTAAGGTTCTCTCTAACATGATCAAGCAGAAAAGAAAAGAAAAAGCTGTAAGTAACTGTATTAAAAATCAGACACTTACAATTACTTGTGACAATAACTGCTCTGTGTTGCTGATGCTCCAGTGACTTACAGCCTTCATGCAAAGTCGAATTAAAACCTGAAATGTTGAGTAATTGAGCAATCTCGGACAGAGTAAGCATGTGCACTATCTTGATTTTCATAACTTCAAATGATAACAAGTAGCTATGTGTTGTATGGTCTATTACTACGCTTTAGAGAAATTTTATTTTATACTTTGGTTGTCCCATTTCACTTAGCAATGCAGCATGTAAGACTACTGACTTTTTTCCCCTCCCCTCACCACTTCCAGGGAAAATGGGAGGTTCCTGTGCCCAAGGTCCGTGCACAAGGAGAAACAGAAGTTTTAAAAGTGATCCGTACAGGAAAGAGAAAGAAGAAGGCCTGGAAGAGAATGGTTACAAAAGTTTGTTTTGTTGGAGATGGCTTTACTAGGAAGCCTCCAAAATATGAGCGATTCATTCGACCAATGGTAATGTTCTTGAGCCTTAAAGAATGTTTACAAAAGAATTCTTTTGACTTACATTACGTTCTTTTGACTGACTTATGTTTCTGTGGTGAGGAAACTTTCTTCTATAATGGACTTGGTTACTACTGACGTAGAACATTCCTATTAGTTTTCTTGCAGAAATCTAAACTTCAAAGAGCCCGAGGGTGGGGAGATGCCCCTGCAGTCACAGTCTGTATTGTAACTCCCGTAACTCAGATGATGCCAGTGAGTTAAAGTTACAAGCTGTCAAATTAGCATGGGAAGGTTTTTAAAAGCTATTTGAATGACCTTTGCTAAAGTTGGAGGGGGCTTTTACAAGCTGTTATGATACTGTCAGCTGCAGAAGCCAGCTGTATTCTAGGACTCCAGAACTCCCTCCTTCTGCCTTCCTAAGTAAGCTTGAAGCACAGTTGTGACCATATGAAAGGGAAATGCTGGGCCTTGAGCCTGACCTTTTCTTACACTGCTGCAGGAACTGTGCCTGGGCTCTAGCAGCCTGGCAGTGCACAGGAAGAAAAACCAGATTCACTAAAACACACAGTTTTTCTATAAATACCCGTTCCTGTTTCCTCACAGGAATCAGACGACTTGCTATGTAGACTGCTTGGTGGATTGTACCTCATTACTATTTTGATCGTATTACACAGAAACCTTGGGTAGATTTTTATTGACACAGAAAAGTTTATGGTTCTTAATGGTAAAGTATCCTTTACAAAGCACATGTTGCTAGATGGAAAATACTATAAAAGATGGATATTTAATAGTTTACAATATGTGAAAGGTTTTTCAGTTTTACAAGGAAAGATTTCTAGTCTTAAAAATCAGTAGTGCTTAAATTCATTACAATAAACATCCCATTTCTTCATGGAATGTAAGCCATCTGAGGGATCAAGTATTATTCTTCTACTACAATTAAAAACTGACATCCTGAAAACATACATGGAAAACTTTATCTTGTCATTAATGAGGTTTTAAAATAAACCTGCCATTCTACAGTAGGCAGATAGCATTCTCTATTCTGTGTTGTTTTATTCTTCCCGGTCTCTCAAAATGTGCAAAGCTGAGGACATAATGCTGAAAGTGTTAAACTAGATTAGTTGTGAGGGTTTAACTCATTCTAACACTCCTTATGCAACAGGGCTTACGTTTCAAGAAGGCACATGTGACACATCCTGAACTGAAAGCTACTTTTTGCCTACCTATCCTTGGTGTAAAAAAGAACCCTTCTTCTCCTTTGTACACCACACTGGGTGTAATCACCAAGGGTACCGTCATTGAGGTGAACGTGAGCGAGCTTGGCCTCGTGACACAAGGGGGCAAAGTTATCTGGGGTAAGTAGTTAAACTAGCTGTACTGCAGAATTACTTTAAAAAGGTTTAAGACTTCAGTGCCTGATGTATTGTTAAGACTACTTCCTATAGTCATAGGTGATCCGCTGTTAAATGTTCTATTTGGGCTGTAGCAGAAGCAACTACTAGGCAACTCTAAAAATGCAACCTTTAAATTTTAATCTTGGGCTTTTCATTCACACTTTCAAAATCAAATAGGTGAAGTTCAAAACAAAGACTCAACTTGCTTGCCTGTGTCTCACACTAAGCAATGCTACAAGTCTGAAGACACAACCCTGTGGACTATGAACAGTGGTGTTGTTTTCAGTGGAAGTTCTGAGTAGGAGTATCTTTGTAGGATCAGGCTGACTTGATTTAACAGAGAGGTTGACTTAGACAACAGAAGAACCTGTGAACCTTAATTCTACCTAGAACCCTAAATGATTCATTTGTAAAAAAAAGCTTGAATAAAATATTTTGAGAACCTAAGTTTGCAGCTCAGCAGAAGGTAGATTTGCATTTCAAAATGCATTTCAGCTTTAGAACAGGAATTCCCCCCACTTCGGAGAGACTTGTGGATTGAACTTGCGAACACAAGAAACAAATCTAATTTATTATATGAACTACGTCAAGCTTTTATAGATATTTAATTCTGTTTTCTTTTTAGGGAAATATGCACAAGTGACAAACAATCCAGAAAACGATGGCTGTATTAATGCAGTTCTACTTGTTTAAGTTGTGTTTGATACCAAGTGTTGGACATGGGCTCCTGCAAAATCAGTGGAGTTTCAACAAAGTTTGCATGATCTCTGGGATCTTTGACCATGCAAGAACATTCACCCCACCAGCTGGTGAGGAACTTAAACATGCCAGAAACAACTGCTTGGGTTTTTATATTTGTTTGCTCGGGCGAAACACTGTTCAAATAAAGTGATTCAGTTTTCATGTTTTGCTAATGTGGTATTGATTTGATCTAAACCTCCTTGGTGTTTTTACAGGAACGGTTTCCTGACTTAGATATAAACACTTAATTCGGCTCACATTCCTAGTGATGGGAAACAGAGCCCCTGGCTCCCAGAGTGGCCTATTCGAATAGCTAGAGGTACAGAACAACATACTAGTATTCTGCTTCTGGGAAAGCAGAAGAGCTGGAAGAATGCAGCTAAAATCTTTCTGATGTCAGTCTGCAGTAAACAGTTTGATACTTGCCCCTACAGAAGCATGGGCTTTAGAACACAGTAGCAGCATGGAGATGCAGGGGGTGGGGTGGCTGTGTTAAACTAGAAGGGCAGCTATTCCTCTCCCCCCTTGCCATTACCTCTTGTTTTTCTCCCTTTTGCCTCCGAGTCTGCATTAATGGAAAGAACAAGGGCTGGAGAATGTACCACTGCAGGAGAACAGGTTCAGAGGTTTACGTTTATGAAGTTGTAGGGGTTTTAAGATCTGAAATACGAGAATGGCATGGTAACCCTGATACTACAACTACTTGTAGCTATTTTGGTGGCTTTAAGAAATATTCAAGAAAAACTAAAGGTCACAAGGATCAACTGATCAATATATATTTAGCTTGCATCCTCAAAATACAAGAAACAAAAGCTGCTTCTAAACGGGAAGCTTTCAGCAATGTTGTAACTGCCTCAGTAATCCTCCTGTCAAGAATTTGGTGGTAAACAAACTTAGCACAATCTACCACTACAAATAAATATGCTCACCATTTTATATTCCTACTCTTAAGCAGTACTTCAAGCCAAGGAGCTTTTAACACAAATTCTAAGTCAACTCCTTATAAGCTTTCTCCAGTTTGAGGACACCCTTGCCCCTGGACATTGTAAGGAGGAAGCTTTCAAACAAAACTTTTAAGATACGTCAGAAGCCAGAACAGCAATAGGTTTGCATTGGGTTTTTTTGCATTAACAAAAGTTTAAGGCTAGAGGTGGTCACACACACAATAAGCAGGCTGAGTAGCAGATCATAGAATTACAGAGTAGTAAAGGTTGGGAGGGACCTTATGAGATTGTGTAGTGCAAGCCCCTACCTAAAGCAAAGTCAATTACAGCAGGTATCTGAAGGCCACATACAGTCAGAGTTTGAGTATCTCCAAGGATGGAGACTCCACTACCTCTCTGGGCAACCTGATCCAGTGTTTGACCACTCTTAGAGTTTAAAGTTTATGTTTAAATAGAGCTTCCTGTATTCCAGTTTGTGCCTACTGCCTCTTGTCCTATCACTGGGAACCACTGAGAAGATTCTTGCTCTATCTTCGTTATTCCCCCTCATCACTAGGTATTTGTACACAAGGCACAGTTCTCCTAAGCTTTCTCTTCTCCAGGATGAACAGTTGCAGCTTTCAGCCTCTTGTACAACAGATGCTCCAATCCCTTAATCATCTTCATAACCAGATCATGTTCCAGATCTGGAACTCTGGCCAGGAAGTTGAGCTGGCTGCTTTTGTACCAGCTTTGTAACTTCTCTCACACTATCTGATAGAGCTAGTACTTTATACCAAAGCCTTCTCTTACAGGCTATTTGGTTAGTTTAACACCGTGGCCTAGTCTGGACTTAACTTCCAGATTTTTACTTTTTTGTGTAGTGACCAGTGATTTGAAACTAAGGGAGGGTCACAAGCCAGTAAGACATTTGCTTCGAGAGAAGGCATTCTGTCAAAACCAATTAAGCCTCTGTTTTTTTGTTGCTTTACTCTTTACTGCACATGAACAAATAAAAAGAATACTTTCATTTTCCACAGCTGTCTCGAGAGCATTACTACACTTTGTGTTATAAATACATGACTTGTTGGCTGAATAACACAACTGTTGCTCTTAAGATACTTTAATGTACCACACTAGGGAGTGCATTACAGCATTTCTAGTGGGCTAATCTATAGCAAATTATGTTAATAACTGCTAAATTTGCATCATCTTGCATAGTTGGTACAAACAGCAGAATGCATACTGTAACATTCGGTACAGCCTGTTCTACAGTTTTTATAAAAGTCTGATGCATAAGCTAATTAAGTACAGGAAATTGTTTTAATCAAGAAATTATATTACAATTAATATTTAAGGTTTTAAAGCTCCTTGGTAGCAGGCAGACTGTAAAATGATGCTAGCTGTAGTGAACTCAACCATTTAAAAACATGCATCCTGTGTAGCAGAAAAGACTCCAATACTAAAGGAAAAGATAATCACAAAATAGAAGTTTAATTACTACTTCAAAACATTTCAAAAGCAGCGAAGACAGTACTAGAAAAGTAAAAACTAACACCATAACAAGACTTAAGTACAATAGAGAAGCAACACATCTTTCATAAGATTTGTAAACAGGTTATTACTAGTTTAGAAAACATCTAACACATTTGTTGAAGTAAGTTTATAAGTATATCCCCTTGGAAATAATATTTTGGAACAGTCACTTAAAGCAGACAAGCTGAAACTTAGGCCTACTTGTTGCTATGTTTCACTTAGTAGTGTTGATGACATTGTAAATGATAGATTTGGTTACTGACATCTACAAATGAAGTGGTATATAAAGCAACAAGTGAAGGTCAAAAAATTTCAAATATTTCAAGAGTTCTTTTAACTTAAGACATGTATACATTTTCATGTAAAGGGCTATGAAACATGAGAACAACAAATAAGAATTCTGCATTAAACTGAAACAAGACCAAAAGAGAATGTGGGAGAAGATATCTTGTTAACAAGCAGTACAACAGAGACATCTGAACAAATGTTGGATTCAAATACAAAACCATTTACCATTTAAGTGCAAGGCTGAAGTCACAAATTAATGTTCTTTAAACTCTATTCCTATGCTAAATAAAGCTCAAAAATAGTACTGCTTGCTTTCACTGTACACATGTAGTTCCACAACATGTTGTAATAGCATTTGGTACAAACCTGTATAAAGTTGGTGTTTTACTCACTGGTTGCTGGTGCACTAAGATCTTAAAAAGTCTTTAAGATTTTGATGGTAGTAAGACAGACAGTTAAGAGATCCAAAAAAATCATCCAAGCCTAGAAAATACTGCTTTTCCCAAGGTAAAACACTTCAGTCAATATAGTTGTCAAATATGTTCCCTTGCATTAATGTAACAGAAGGTATAGACTATGAAACTACTGTTCCCATGGAACAACCAGTACAGAATAAAAACTACTATTTAAAGTCAGTATTTTGATTTTGCCACGTCGTATTTGCTGCAAGATGACTGATACCAAAGAAGTTGTTACAGAAATAAATTGTGCCCTTTCGTTCAAAGTGCTGCTGCAATCACAACTGGAACAATGTCCAATTTTCAAGGCTGTACTGGTTGTCAGAATTGCTAATTGCATTCCAATGCCCATACTCTGTACGTAACAGTCTGGCTATCAGCTACTATCTCAGGTATCCCAGATTTAGAGAGTTATCTACTCAAGAGTATACTTAAAGATGTGAATTTAAGTTCAGTATTTAAAACTGACTCACTGAAATAAGATCAGAAATCTGGTTCTCAGCAGTAACCAACACTGACTTAATCCAGTAATCTTGTAAAATACATTCAATATGCAGATGTCAAAAGATACCAATGGAAACTGGTTCCAACTTAGCCATGAAAAGTAAAATCCAGATAAGTGACATTACTTTCTCACAAACAGTCTTCCAACCTCACAGGGAATACAAGTGATAAACATACGTATCAAAAATCCAGCGAGAGGTAAACAAAATAACTGCAACTCACTTTCCATACACAAAAGAAACTGTAACTTTGTGGAAGTGTATCAATTATATCAATTGATATCAAATTCATTTGTAACAACTGAAGTATTCTGCAGATTAATCTTTAGTAAAGCTTGCTCTGGAAATGGAAGATGAGTCACAATATGTTGTATACAATCACACTTTAAGCCAGCAGCCCTCACAAATCCCAAATTAATATCAATGCCACAGATGTTTCCTAGACACTTTTTTTTTATACAATAAAACTTGGCAGTAAGAGAAGCCATACAGAACGTAAAAGTTTTGGCTCATGTGCTTTATCAAAAATGCTTGATTAGTTTTAAAAATGCTTAAGGTTCACTTGAATATGTTTACAAACAATCATGAAATACCTTGAACATTTATCAGTCATGGGGTTCACAAGGAGTACCTGTAAGTATACTGATAGGCAGTTAACAGCTACGTGCAACAGTTCAAGAAACCCAGATTTAACTCCATAATGAATGAGCCAAATATAAGTAATACACCATGCACCCTAAATCTAAAAATCAGGTAAATCACATTTCTTTAAAACTGCCTTTTTTTCCCTATAAACTGCTAACAGATTAAGGACAACCATGGTACTTCATCAGCTGAAAGATAAAGTATCCATGTGTGTTAAACAGTTAAAATAACTTATAAATACAGTTAAGCTGTATAAACATGAAATCCAAACCCAGATTCTTACCTTAGTTTCAGAGGGATAAGAGTTTAGAGCACACTGCAACTACTCAAGGAAACCTTGTACTCAGAAATCCTGAACCGCAATTTCTAGATGCCACTTTCTAAGGCATTGTGGGAGACTAGTTCACTTATCTGAGAAAAGGTGTATAGGAGGACAAATAGGGTTGTAATTTCCTGTTCTTAGAACCACTGTTCTTTCTTATTTCTTGATTTTTAACCCATGATGAGAAGAGCTTCATTTATTGAATGGAACACATTGCAAACTAAGGAGTAACTTACTGTATGTGTGACAATTTAAGTTAAATATATGGTTTGCCAAGAGAACCTCTGAAGGGAAACATGCATGAAAAGCCTGTTTTTATTTCTGTTTGCATAAAGCAAAGTTTGGTTGCTGCTTTTAAGAAAAACTGTGACCTTGGAAGCTATCATCCAATGGATTACATCCAAGTTAAAAGAAGAAAGTGGGAATCAGAAATATTTGCAAGCAACCACCTGTTAATTCCTAAAGGCATAGAGGTTTGGCAAACAAGCATCTGCTGAAACACCCAGTAACACTGACACTAATGAATGTCACAACCACCTGAAATGCCAGACCTCACAGAAGTCACACGCCTGGCAGACACAACATTTTAGCAGTTACCCCACAGCACCAGCCAGGTATTTGGAGAACACAAAGCACTGCTTCCATTCAGACCAAAATGAGATCAAAAGTTGTCATAACCTTTTCCTGTAATGTAACAAGTAATCAAGTATCTACTCAACACATACAAGTAGTTAGGAAGGCTGTTCAAACAATTCCATATATTTACTGGAGTCTACACTCCATAGTGGAAAAAAAATTAGGCTTATCAACATGCTTGCTTTGGAAGCTACGAACAGTTTACTACTTAGGCATCTCTTATTCCTCACATAAACAACTTAATTATCAGAGTGCACTATGGCAGATACTATGTTGACCATGATTCTACTGACTCAGCTGTTTCAAGTGATTCCCATGAAAGACAAGATACTGCTAATATTGTTTTGACCTACTGAGATACACCTTCCTTTATATGTTGAGACCTAGATTACAGAATCTTACATTCTTTTAATCTCATCTGAGAAAAAAAGGAGGGAACAAGCAGCAAGGAAGGATTTTTCTTGTTCTGCTTCTTTCCACAGTAGAAAACAAAGTTATTTAAAAAAGCTAGTGATGTTTGGCCTTGTAGAAGTCTGTGGGAATTTAAGGGACCCTGATAGGGGCAAGATTTCACACTACATTTTTCTTCCACAACTCCCACCTCAAATAAGCAAACTGTTCCCTTTTCTAGCACAACTATGTTTATTCAGCATGTATCCTTTATAAAAGGACATCCTTTACAAAAGAGGAGACTGGCTGTTTACTTTCATACTTTAATGAAGCTCAATGTCTAGTGGTTAAAAACTGAAGAAAACTTGAAGAAAGATGATGAATCCTAAGAGGAAGTCCAACACAGAATTTTAAACACGTGTGTCCTGTGTCCCATATGGTTTAGTTACAACCTAGTGTTTTACACAAAATAACAACTTTCTTATAAATAGATGAAATTACAATCACTATTTAATTTTTAAGATGGCTTTCCTTTCTTCTTGGGTGGACCTTTGCAGCTTTTGGCCTTTCTTCGCAAATTTCTCCGGTCTACAACAGGTACCTCAATTTCTGCTTCCTCAGAGCTGCTGTCAGCAGCCCGCTCCGCCACTGTCTGCATGCGCTGATCCATCTGCTCAGCAGGCTCTAAGTGGCTGCTTTCCAACTGGTTCTTCTGTTCCTCCTGTCCAGAAGGCTGCTGAAAAGAAAAACCCTCGAGTTCAACCACTATCAAAGAACTCTGACTCAAGGCAACAGGGGCCTCCTGCGAGTTGTGCCCTGCTTCCTCATTTTGATCTTCCAATGAGGAAGCTGTTTTGGGTGATACATTTTCAGAAACAGATTCCTCTGCTGCTTCAGTTACCATAGAGTTGGGCAGGCCGTTGCCAGACGGCTCTTCCTTCGATGCCGAAGCAGCTGCACTTTCACTGGCAGTCGTCTCAGATTCTTGCTGTTCTACAGTGCCCTGCTCTACCTCTGTAGTTTCTTCAGTCGGCATTTCGGAAGCACTTGCATTTAAAACCTGGTGGGGTTGGGAGAGGAAGGGTGCAAAAACAACCAAAGGGACAATTAATTGAAGATACAAGAGAGAGAACAACTACTGCCCATAACTAGCAACGTTGGAGGATATTTTGGCATTCAGCAGTTTTTAATGCTGCACGTACAGTCAAGCCAGTCCTTTCTTCCTTTTTGCACAAGACTCTTTTGTCAACTGCATTTGATATCCGGAGTTGTTCTATTTTCAAATTCAAATTATTCAAAGGATTATTCAGGTTTAGTAAAAACATTCTGAAATTAATCCCAGGGAATTTTTTTTTTTTTTCTATTTTAGACATATACAATTATCAGTTTGCTAGCACGTAGCAATCTGCTTTTGCACTACAAACAGAAAACCAGAAAAATCTATGTTCTAGAAGGGTATTTTACCACTAAATAATTGCTTGTACACTTTGTCAGGGCAGAATTACCAGACAAAATAAGGATGTAGCTTTTCACTCATATCCAACTGATGCTTTAGTGAGAAAGAACCGTTTCACTGCTGCCACAGCAAACTGGAGCAACATATCTTTCTTTTTGGTATCACATGCATATATGCCACACTTCTGCATATTAAAACATAAATATTATTATATTCTGTTTATGGATTTACATCATCTGGGCTAATAATTGCTTCTCCCAAGAATTTCATATGATGGTAGGGGCTACTTTCTATGTGTTACTTAACAAAACAAAAAAACAGCAAGATATGTACACTCTGAAGAAAAGATGGCTTCACATTTTGTTTCAATTCTCTCACCTCCTCTGATACAGTGTTTTCTGAAGGTTTTGCCTGAGGCTCAACAATTATTGGAACAAACAGCGTTACGAGATCTTGATTCTCAGCCTGCAATTCTGATTCGCCACTTTGAACTTGATTTGCTATTTCTTCTTCACCTGTATGCGAGGGCCTACCAGTTCCTTCTGTTACCTCACCATTAAGAGGTTCTGATGGAGTTACCTAAAAAAAAAAATTAAAAAAAAAAAAAAAAAAAAAATCACATTTCTAAGTCAAGATTAATGCCCAGCCATTGTTCCCCAACACTGGCAGGTATATCTGTGATCTAAATTTGCAGTTTAATGTGAGAAGCAGATAGCTCAGGTACCTAGAAATGAGCAGTAAGAAGGCAGAGCTTAGTGCAGAGTAGCTAACTTAACCAGTGTATTATCTCGGTGTTGTCACCTGTACTCAATTTCTGACCGTAGCCTACACTGTTAGAAGCCAAGCCAAGCAGTTATGCACCTCATAAGCATATATGCTGTAGCTATTCCTTGAATCCAACACAGTGTAAGATCCACTTTCTCACCTATTGGAAAGAACACACAACCCTGGAGGAATCCCTAGGCACAAAGGGCACTCACATTTCAATTCAAGCCGTTAACAAGTTGTAGATAAAAAGCTGGATTTAAAGCTTGACTGCTTTGATGTTTAAGTGGAGGTGTAAAAAGATCCAACAGTAGTCACTGAATCATACCAGCTATTGGCTTCTTCAAATAAACTTTTTTTTTTTAATTAGGGATACTGGATCAGATCTTGACCTTACTCCAGTTCTCCAGAATATTTGAGTAGAAATCAATTAAGAAAATTAGGTTAGTAGACAAGCTAGAAATTCACCTTACTGAAGATTCAACAAACTCTATTGTTCAAAATAAGTACAATGGAATATTCTCTGAAACTAATTCCACACTAGCCTTCGCTTCTCAGATATACTTCTCAAAGCAGCACTGGTATGAAAAAAAAAAAAAAAATCTAAGAATTGATTTTTTGATCCAAAGACATGGATCAATGCAGCAAGGACCGTATTTAGTGGAAACTGTAGTTGTATTCCAAGCTTATCTGTTATCTTTACCACATCAAGCTCACCTCCTCACTCTGTTTCTCAGAGGGTGGTACGTGTTGATTTGCTTCTGATACAGCCTGGCCCTCATTTTCAGCAACTCTTATTTCAACCTCATCAACAGTACTCTTCTCAGGTACTTCTACTAATTCTTCAGTGCTTACAGGTGTATGGGCAGGAGGTTCCAGCCTGCATCAGGTGTTAAGATATAAACATTTACATTAAGACATAATTTTGGTGATCTCAGCAAGGAAATTCTTTCATGACCAATTATAAAGTGCTGCATCACATGCTTGTCATTGAAAGTAAAAATCCAGAAAACTACATACATCTGAAAATGGCAAGCTCCTCATTAGGCAAAAAAAAGACAAAACATCAACTAGGAAATATCACTTTGGCAATTATAAAATGAAGATATCTATCTCATTTCCATTTCATGGGAATAAAAGTCAGAAATCTGTTATTTTAAATTTAGAAAGCAGTGATCCATTAAATATTTGAAAGCCACAAAGGCGTGAGAAAGGAAGCAACTTTTCCCACCACCATTGTAGAAGCAGTTTAAAATTATAGAGTTAAAGGCAAACATGTCTGTATAATCATTGAATATACATATATTACAAAGACCATGACTGGAAAAAAATTTGAGGAAATACATACATCATAGGTGAGGAAGATTCAATCAGCTAGAGATTAAATTAGCAAATAGAAAAAGTAGTAGTTCTGAGGTATGTGATGGGTAGTAACACTCTCAAACATTCAGTTCTCATCTGAGATAAAACTTAGATGAACTGGAAGTATTACACACAAGCAAAGAAGAAAGTACATGCAATAGATTTGCAGGAGGTTGCTTCATGGTATCATCGTACAAGCAGTATTGGAGGGTTTTATTCCAGGTACCAGTCTTGAGATTAAGGCACTACATAGCAGGAAATTCCTGACAAAGACAACCCTGTGGCATTGGCTAATGGGCATGGAAGGAGAGAACCACGCCGATATCCTGCCCTGTTGCCATCAGGATTCCCCGTAGCTCTGCTCAAACACCACGTTACACATCTTGTTCAAAGGACCAGTGGCACCTCATCGACTTCATTTTGCAAGGCACAAAATACTGACATTCAGTAACAGGCTAATCCTCTCACATAGCAAGAGCCAATTACTACTAACAGGGCAAAGGCTTTCTCAACATGGGGCAGCATCAAACTGTACCATTTGGCCTGTCTGAACCATCTTAGGGCAGCACACTGAAGTACAGGACAGCAGTGCTGTATCTACAATTTAAACACAAAAATCAGGCTGTATCTAGCTGAATACCTCAGCTTCATTTGGTGAAAAAAAAAAACAAAACAAAACACTAATTTTGTTTAAGAAACCTAATTTGAGGGATTTCCTAGAAAATAATCAGGTTATCTTCACTTCTTCAAAAGAAGTTTTTGGGGTTCCAGTGGGTTTTTTGGGAAGAGGATGAGAGAGGGAGAGAGATCCAGGGAGGGGCAGTGTGTGTCTACGAGCATACATATACTCACACACAGGAAGGGGGAGGAAGGAGAATTTTGTTTATTTAAAAGAGCCACAGTTCTGCTTTCTGGATGGAAGTCAGTTCAAACTTGCACTTCAGGCCCTGTCTTGTATGAATTGTTATTTCATGCAAGTGGTACAATTCTTCACATCCCCATTTGGCAATTATTACATGGGGTAACATCCTTTAAACTGGAGATGACTTTTTTTTTTCCCCCCCAAGATGTAAGTTTGGACATGACTGTTTTTAAATCAGAATTTGTCTAAACAAAGGTTTCTATTTTGAAGATGGGTGGATCCCTATAACTCTTTTGTTATGAAGTGGCAAGCAGTAACCAGCTCCCAAACTAAACAGTCAGACTTTATTCAACTGCAATATGCCACCATGACAAGAGGTAAGGAAGGGACACCTGTCCAAAAAAAAAATTCACACATAGTATTGTGATAATATAACTGGACATGTACCCACAAGAAACTATGCTGTATGAGTACAGACATTTTTACCTTCATGCAGACTCAGTCATAACAGAACACCGCTCGCCCTCACTGCTTTCTTACTAATATTTCCAGTATCTGCCAAGCTTTCAGAAACACTACATTTTGGTGTAATCACTCTTCAGGTAATGCCTCAATTTTCTCTCACATCAGGCTTTATTTTTAGTAATTTTAAAATCAAGCAAGTAAAGTAGGAAGAAAGGAGAAGAAATACCAAGTAACACAGACACACTGGTGTAGTTTGTGACTGCCCAAGCAATAAAACAAGAAATCAGCAAAATATGGCCTCCTCCTACCTGCTTTCGGACACATGAAGAGCTTCTTCACTATCTCCTGCTGAAGTTCCAGGTTCAGATTCCTGGCTAGTTTTTCCTGTTCTGGCACGTTTTAAATAACTGCTTCGTGTCTCAATGGAAGCAGGAGCTATGTTAGGGTCTTAAGAAAAGAAAAATCAAACCAACAAAATAATTGCAAGTGAACAAATGCAGTGTAAGATCTGCATATAATTTCTCGCCCTAATATTTCATTGAAGAAACTAAGTAAAACAGCATTTCATTGTGGTACTTTTTTCCTAAATACGTTTAAGTAATCTTTTTACCAAGACTCATAACAATTTTATCTGGAATCCTCCAGTTGAGCCTCAGCACCTTAAAGGAAGGCATGTTTTTATACACTTTGCAGATGAACACACTAAGATTGAAAGCAGTAAAAGAGCCTGCTAACCTATTAATTCACAGTAATCACAGTACTGATCATCAAGGTTATTTTTACCTCTAGACACGCTTGCATGGACATCTACTGATTCTTCACCATTTTGAGAGTCAGCCTGTGAAGCAAAAGAAAAGCTAATGTTATCCCAAAAACTTCTGAAATTATTGAAATACCTTCATCTCCCTATCTATGGCTGCATCTTTCTAAAGCACTATTTCATAGTTACGATCCTATGGAAGAGCAGCTACACAAATAAGATAAGCAGCGCTCCATAATATTCAAAGACACAAAGGTATTAATGAACACATATCCATCGGTAGCTGAAATCTGGTTGATATTTCAAATATGTAGAAAGAAAACTGCAGTCCTATACGGACAATGTGTAACTCTGAATGCAAACTAAATACTTTCCATTTTATTGAACTGTGATGTGAATGTGTGCTTTTATGAATGCTTTTGCTCATTCCCTCCACTCTTACGATGACTCTACTGTTCAACAGCCTTTATAGAGAGTTTAATCTCTGAGACAGCTGAAATACTCTCCCTTCTCAAATCTGCTAGCAAACAGCTCAAATTATACACCCTGACAGCCGTGGCACAGACCCTCTACATTCATGGAGACACCTTCCTCACCCTCCTCCCCCGCAAAAAAAAAAAAAAAAAAAAAAAGGTATTTTTAACCCAAGCTTAGTCATTCGTGTTCCATCAGTGGGAAGCATAACATCCACCCAAGAAGTAACAAAAGCACTTGCCTTTTATATATAGCACCGACTTGAGCCAATTCAGTTATAATGAGATGGACAAAAAGTATTTCTCATACTTTATTTTTTAGTAACAAAGCAATCACAAGAGATAACAGTCTGTACCTACATTCGACTTGTTTTTGAGCTCAGTCTCCTGTTTGCTTGCTTCAGATAGTGCTACAGACTGATGAAGATGACCTTCCGCTTGGGAACTCTCATTTTTTCTCTGTGGGGCCCCTGTTAAGATTTAAAAAAGCAAAACGTGGAAATGGAAAATTATAGTACTTTTATACAATAATTAACCATTCCAAATACGATCTCGCAGATCTCAGGACAAATAAAAACCTTTCTGCTAGTTTCCAGGGGCAGTGTTCATAGAAGTCAGTATTGTAGAGTGTTTGTTCATCTTTTACAAAGTGTCAGAAAACAACAAAACAAAGCATACATACCTGCAATTTTGAGCTTTCCCTTTTGCAATGCAGACATAATAGATGTTCTCTGGAACCAAGATCCTGCTCCCTCCACCTCCCACAGAAGGTTATTATCCTCTGGGTACTTCTCAAGATATTGCTTACAAGCTGAACAAACGTAAGAAAAAAAACTATATTATATATACTACATATTCAGCTGAACCTCAGTTTTTAAAGTTTATCTGAAATCAAATTAATTTGCAATCTTCTATTATACACATAAACCACCACGGAAAAAAATAATCAACAAAACAGTTGAGTCTGAAACAAATACAAATATTACTTTACCCAACTAATCCGTCTTAATAAATACCTTCAAGGTTTAAACACTTTCCATTGTTATCTTAAATTGCAAAGAAAGATAGGATTTTCTTCTTTTCTAAGCACCCCTTTGAGAGTTTTATAGCTTCACTGGTCACTGTCACAGGACCCAACTGAGGATGGAAGAGCTCTTAGGCAGAGAATATAATCAAGATATTTTTGTTAGCCCATGTTATGATAGGCCTTTGTGAAAAGCACTCTTTAGGAATGCGAACACATTACCATTGCAGGGTTTATCATCTATTAATTTCACTTCTGGAATATTTTTTCTCCACTGCCCCTCCATCTCTTTTCTCCAATACACATACTAAACATACCTGTGGAGAGGTATGCTCTGATGTTATTCTGTAGTAGCTACCAGTTAAACTACTGTTTTTCACCTGTTTCACTATTGATGCACCATCTCAGTGGACAAGATCCCTGCTGTATCATTCCTTGACCAAGGAAATGGATTAGTCATGCAGTTCTGCTCAAGACAGTTTTCTGTTTGAAGCCTAACAAACCAGATCTAGTCAGATCCAACAACAGACAGCGATACTTGGAAAAGCAGAAAGTTTCCAGTGTTTTAGAAGGCCAGATGAAAATGTTCCTAGAAGGAAGCCTGGCAGATGGCCTAAGAGTAGCACAAGCCTTGAGAAACAGGGCAAAGGAAACGGGCTTCTTTGCCTGAACGCAATTCCAAGCAACATCATTTCCAGAAGGCATGTCATTTCTTAGATTACTTAACCCTTCTCAGCTGCTAATGGAAGGGCCATAAGTGTTTTCCTTGTACATTAAAACTGTGCTTTCTTATACCCAAGTTAAAACATAGCCGAGTATGTCCATTTGAACAGAAGTTCTATGAAAGTATGAATTAAATGACCTTGTGAGGCTTAGCTGTGAGCAAGAAAAAGGTGCTACAGAGAAGATACACATTAGATCACACAAACACCTCAGGCCATTATGGAGGGCTTGCAGGGGGACACAGTGGTAAACTTCACAGTAGCAGAAAGCCAAAATAGATCAAATAATCTCATCTCATGCAGAGGATTAAAAACCTAATCAGGAACTACTTCACCATCTTAAACAAATCAGGGCTTTTAGCCTTTGCTGAAGAGCAGAAAATTTAATATAGAAATTGAGGATGAAGCCACAAACATGGAGCTTCAGTGACAGCACTCATTTGGATATGTAAAGAAAGCACAAAGAAGATCAGAAAAGTAAATGAAGGCTTGCCTGTGTGCATGAAGGATGAAAGTGGGTATCGTAGGCCAAGAGTGGCTTCTTTAAAGGAATCCACAAAGTCTTCTAACATGATTAAACCAAAGTGTGTCTCACGATGTTTCTTTCGTACAAACATTGTGTCTATCACTGACAATTCATAGCTCTGATGACTGTAAGTGCTACAGTTAGTTCCTGAAATAATAGAAGGGGAAAGAATATCCATCAGTACTTTAGCACTGACATGCTGCAGCATGGATTTTAGTATATTCAAATAAACACCTTTATAATTTATAAAAACTACACCAATATATATATTTTAAAATATAATCTTATATGGATCACAATTATAAAAATAATGTATAACGTTAATAATAAATAATTGCTATCAGCCGTTTATTGGCTCTTTGGGCAAGCTTCATAATGTTGCCAAGATATATCAATATATTAATATGTTAGAGAAAGTCTGTAGTGCCAGAAAAGAATAGCAGAAAGACAGAGGAAAGGCTCACTTTGAAATCACACTATACAATCCATAGGAAATCTATACTAAAAATGAAGCTGAAAGAGGGAGGAAGGAAAAGGAGACAATAAAATTATTGAAGTGCACTTTTATGTAGATTACATCACTCCTCAGGACAAATATGAAGACTATAACTTAGTTCATGTTTAAAGACCGAAGCAATAGTTACAATTTTTTAAATGAAACTAAAAAAGAAATCCTAGGACACTTGGCACTTGAACTCTTCCACTAAAAAAAACACATTATCCATAACTAAACAAAGATGAAGCAGACTGTCACAACACACAGATACCTCAGTATCAGAGGATTCAAACTGTAGCTATGGACTCAGTGGTGATAAACAGATGCCATATAATGGCATTAAGATAGCCCATCCACTATCCAATTCATTTTCAGGCCCTCATTTTGAGAGTAAGTGTGAACTATGCAAAAAGTTACCCTTTCCTCTAACAAGGCCAAAGAGAAACATATACTTGTCTACATAACATAGTTAGTCTTTGCAACCTTGTGCTTTTGAGACCAGTGGACATGCTTATCTTCATTTCTCAAGCAAGGAAAACGTGGGCAGAGAAGTTACATTACTTGGGTACCCTTTGGGATACCAGTCAAGCTCCACTACTCTTTCCTAACCATCTGTTTCTAGAGCTGTCTTTCTCCACATAGACTACTCAATTTGGAGAATACAGCACACATTTGAACATGGGTGAAATATTGCCAATGACTAGAAATATTAGCTTTCGGTGTTTACTAACCCAGGACAAGTAAATGCGAGGGCATCATGAGAAATATAACAAGTGTTATATTTCATAACAGTGACATAAAGTGTCCCCATCCTAGATTAAAAACAGAATCACTACTCTAATTTCCAGCTTTATAAGACCACAATAAAAACCACCGCAATGTAAATACTACTTTATAACCACCACACTGCAAAAATTTTTACATTAAAAATAATACTGAGAGTGATACAAATTATGCAATGCATAATTTTAAAAAAATACATAAAGATAACAAAGACAATCAGAACAAATTAGCTGGTTGCTTTCCTATCTTGATTGCCAGACCAGAATAGGTTAGTGACCTAGACAGCTGACAATTCCATTTTTAACAGTTTGCAAAGTCATATATATATATGTTAAATGGCACAAGTCTCCAGTAAGGCTCCAGTACCATCATTAATCCAGAACTAGTTAACCCTCTCTAGAGATGAAACAAAAATGCCAGACTGTTTCTCCTTGATCCAGATACCGATATTCTACAAAGTGTTATCAATGTGCTAAACAGCCTACTCAAGTATTAAATTTTATTCAGCAACAAATGAAAAACAATATATTCCAAAATAAGTAAAGGGAAGCTATAATGCTTTAGAAAGAAAAACAACAGCATGTCTTTAACATTAATAACATAAACCTGCCAGCTCATTTGTAATCCCTGGGGGAATATATGTGTGGAAGGAAACAGAATATCTTTTTGTTATCACCAGGTGTAGCTGAATCTTATGCCTGGGAGCAAAGTTTCTATGCTGTCATGATATAAAATGTTCAAATGATAATGACATCAGATTCTACAATCATTTCAGATAAACAGGATCTGTGCATTCTGGAGTGAGGTCAAAAAAAAACCAAAAACAAGCACAGCCCAATCCAACCATAAAAAAATTGTTATACAGAAAAGAAAGCTTTTAGGCATACCTCACTTCTACAGTTTTAAATGTATTTTGTAGAATATGAAGAAATCTAAGAATTTTCTTAGATTGCTGTTAAAACATCTAGCTTAAATGCTTCCATGTTTTAGCAATCTGACCTCTTATGATTTCAGGAAAACACCAACTCATTAGGCCTGCAAGGCTTGTAAAGTCTACTAAATACAATATTCTTCAAATAAGCTCTCTCACACCTCCCTTCTACCTGCCCCAAATCCCACAATACTCAAGTGTTTTACCTTTAGGTTTAACAGAATAGAACCCAATAGCCTCTCCTTTTTCCCACATGATCTTAGCATAGTCATTGCTACCATGACAGAGAAATGGGATCTCATTTCTTTCCATTTCTCTTGTCCGATAAATAATTCGATTCAGAACATAGAGAACAATTCTCTCTCCAACAGACTTCACCTAAGGAAACATAGAAGAACATTTTAGAAGAATGGTCAGATTAGTTAACACACATCACAGACCTTATTTTTCAAAGTTGACAGTTAACACAGCTGCAGATGGAGTCAAGAGAAGATATAAGTGCTAAATCAGGATGAAGCTCTGGAGTTTGCAGACAAGGAGATGCTCAGAAGCCATAGCAATAGGTTAAGTTTAAAGCACTACAACTAGACAGAGGGTATTTCACAACTTCACTGTCACTAATGTGATGGGTAAAAGCTGAGAGAAGTGCTAGGAGTGGGGCAGCAGCAGGTATGTTTTGATTTTAACTCAAAACTATTTTTGGATTTAAGAAACATTTCCCAAACACAGCAGCAGTACACCAGCCTCACCCTTCCCAGGCTAGCAGGTAATTAGAATCCTACAAAGGAGAAATGATGGCCCTCACAGGGTAGCAGGACTTGGCACACACAATCACTGCTGAGAGTGGCAGACAACAGAATATGATGCAGTAGAAGAACTAGTTACAAAGGTTTGAGGCATGAAACAAGGAACTCAAAACCTTTTCTCTGTCCTGCTGTGTTCCTTTTACATATGAAATTTAAGTTCACCACTATCCTACCCACTGTAAAGGAAGAATGGAGGAACCATACCCTCTTCCCAGTGTCCAGAGTCTCAACTATCTCGCCTGTAAAAAAGTCATCTTTCCTGATTTAATCACCATGGAAAACACATGGAAAACAACCCTACATGACAAATTCTATAGAGTAAATTAAAAAATACAAAAATTAAAGATAAATGCTAAGATTCCATGAGCAGATATTCATTACACTTCTGGAAAAATACCAATTTCCAGTGTTCGAAAAAAACAAAATTCCGTGCTACATAGTAATGGTAACAAAGGTCGAAGATGAACAACAGGCAGCTTACTTTCCCAAACCTCATGTATTGCCACTGCAAGCCAGCAGCTCCAACTCACCTCTATCAAGCAGGTTCCTGACAATATTTTTAACTTACTAGTCTCCTGATCAGACCAATAGGTATTACTATGGTACACTGCACCACTAAGACATTTCAATACAACCAGACATACAAGGTCCTAAAGAGTAAAGAAAAAACTCTTATCATTAATATCTAAATAGCTTACATATGAAGCTACTGTATGAGAGTCACTCTTGCTCTAGACACTATCTTCACAACCAAGGTCCCTTCCCCCACGTACCTATTCCTCTATTTCCATTGACCTTGCTTTTGACTTGAGACAGCCAACTCATTTCTGAATGAAAAGAAAACATGTAACATCTCACACACTAGCTACTTGCCATTACCTGCCATTATCTTCAAGGATAAGGATAATTGGTAGGTGAGTGTTGGAGCACTTTACCTTTTGAAGCCCCTGTCTAGTAGTTACAGAAGTTCTCAGAATGTCATCAATTGGCCACCACCGGTCAGCAAGATACAGGGCTACAGCTTGAAAGAAACAAGGGAAGATAAAAGAATCAGTGATGCTTACCATTCTAAAAGAAACGTATTAAAGCTGCTAAACAATTAGGAATAACACTGTAATAACCAAGTTAAGCATCTTCTAGTTGGCACTATATTAATGCAGCTCTTACTACCCTAGAAGAAATGTGGTGCCATACACCCTCCCCGTGCAAATTCAATGCTCCCTAGTTCAAAACTTGTTTGAATACTGAGAACAGTAAAACCAAATGCAGATTTTGTGCAGTATGACATACTGGAACTGGTTTTCATCACTGTGCTCTAGTACCTCCTTCCACTAAAAACTGGGCCAAGAGCAGTCTCATTCACACATATATTTTAGTTTTGGGTTGCTAATGTATATTAATACTGAAACTGTGCAAGTTTTAGGGAGTCAGATGAATGTTAAAAGGCTGATGGCCATGTGATTAGCAATACAGAAGTTTGAGCTATGGGCATTTGCGGCAAATCGTATACATGGCATTAAATGGAAAGAGAAGGAAACATGGAGAACTGGAAAGGAAGGGAGAAAGGGAGGAAAACCCAAAAAAACCCATACAACGACATCTTAGCCAAAGCTATGTTAGGACCTAAAGCTAAAGACAAATTTACGTCTGATGTTGATCCATCACTGCTAATAAAAAGCATCTAAATTTGTGGGCAAATTAATGGATTCTATGAAAGCTCAATAAATTCCATTTGGAGAGGTGATATCTACGTGAAGAGATACATGTTGTACTTGGACTCAGATGAGCACCATGTTATTTTGCTATATATCCTCTGAATTCAATGGGTTCAGTTCTACTCTGATTGGTGTACAAAGTTCTATCACTTATGTATATGAATCCACAACAAAAATAATAGTATGGGAACAAGAATGCAGTGAACAACAAATGCAGAAGTGTCAAAGTTGAGCTACACTAGTATGGAATGAGCAAGGGCCTGGTTACATGTATTGGTTACAGGAAAAGAAACAGCCACACAGAGATTAAAATCTTAAAATGAAACCTGTGAGCGAGTTTCTTGGTATAAACAAGCCAAGAACTTTGTGTTTCTCCTTTTCACCATAAAGAGGAACGAAGCCAACAGTTTCCAATCTAATAGAAACCTGAAACAAGAGTGTACAATACTTAAGACTCTTGCTAAAACAACACTAGTAAAATATACAGAGAAATCTTTAGCAGTGTAAGCAAGACAAATGTTGAAAACCAAGTGCTTAACTGTAAAGGACAAGCATCAGAGCCCAGCCCTTACTTTAGGCATTTCTTCCTAAAGGCAGACTTACATTATAAAAGCTCTGACTCTCAAACTCTGGCAGATTTAGCTGCAGTAATTTATACTGTTACAGCCCTCTCATGTCAGCAGTTTGCATTTATGTGCACAACTGAATTATGTTGTGCAAAGAGCCAGCAGTATGTTTACTGTTCCAGCTATGCAAACTGTCAAAGACAACAGAAGAATGAGGCAGGCAGTCAAGCACAGAAACAAACTGATACAGCAAAATTGCTGTTTGTTAACACGTGCCCTACTGTGCTATGGTGGGCAGACTGGATTCAAAAGGGTTTTCTTCCCTTGAATTACACACATTTCAGAAATTCCAAAGTTTTCTGCTTGATTTCTCTCCAGGAAAAATATAAGAAGGGTCAAATCAATCCACCTTTCCAGAGTTGAGTACCTTTGTGGAAATGTATTCTGATATTTAAATTCACATTTTCAATATTTAATTAATAAAAACTAGACAGACATTAATGGTGTGGTAAATACACTTGCTTACCCAATTTAAGAAGATTATGATATACTATGCCACAAACAAGGATGCTAACACAAATATTTAGGCATACAGCACCTGCAGAATGCAGGAAAGTACTCAAAACTGCTTCAGCCAAGGAATCTGCAGACATTCCTCTCAGCTCACTTAATTTTCATTAAAGCTATACACCACTGCTTTTATTGGTAATAGCTCTAACAGAAAGGTTCATCCAGACAGAACCAATATTGACCAACTTAACGTGTAAGAATCACTTCTGAAATTAATGAAACTTGCTCATCAATAATTGAACCCAACCATGAAAGAAACTGAAGGACTGAGGTACAAAAAGAGCCTGTTAGCTTCAGTAAATCATGAACCCCTTAGTTACAATGACAGATTTTTGTAACTGCACGAGTTAGTGCTTTTTAGGAAAGAGTTTGACTCATCAGCTGGAATTTTAAGTTTTTTTTTTTTTTAAATTACTTAATGCATACAGATCCATTGTCTAGAAGCAGCATAGTCACTGATGCTCAGATAAAAACTCTATTACAGAATGAAAAAAGTAGATCTTAACACACAAACAGGAATTTGGAAAACACAAAACCTTTGCTAAAATAATTATGTAATTCAATAGTCATGGACTAGATATTGAAAATCTTTTAAATCAGTGAGTATATCAAGAAAACTGGGACTAAAGTATCTGTTAGTTCTTACATTGCCATGGTTTGGCAGAGACAAGGTTTCAGTACAGCTTCGACTGAGACACCGAAGGTCAGTCAAGTAGTCCTCTCCTGATTTCTCCAAGTCCTCATGACTGCAGCTGTCCAGAATATCCACAGGGAATGACATCCTCTTGAGAAATAAACAGCATTACTGTAAGTAGTTTGAGAGGTATGATGCAGTTTATCACATGCCTACTAACCATGTAACACTGCTGAACACCCACCCTCTGCTGCTCTCTAGAGTCCCCTATAGCCAAGCCAGAAAGGAGAAATGCTCCAGGCATTTAATTAGGATGGTGCCTATTAATACTCAGTCTCTAAAACCAGAACTCTATCTGTGTTTGTAAGCAGAAAAGGATGTGTTTAGCCCATAGATCCCTCTAGACCCAAACATGGCAGATTTCCAACATAAGTCCCTTGTTTGCAATCACATGCACAATAAGCCATATGCTGCCTTGGGGTGGCAGGCTCAGTTATCTCCCTCCCAGCTGATGTTTTTGAGGCCACAGATTAAGCAATAAGTGGTGAGTCAAACAAAAAGTAAACAGCACAAATGATAACAAGAAAGAGGACTTTATTTTTAAGACTTTGCATCTAAATCCACCTCTGCGGAAACCAAAGCATTGCTCAGAACTTCTCTCAACAACTGGCCTGTTAGTTGGTTGTTTCCAAAAGCATTTCAACTGTGAACAGGAGATGCTACAAGCACATAAAAAAAAGAGCCTACAACAGACTAAAGAGACACCTTAAGGAGTTGACAAGACAAAACCTAAAGCACTGAAGACCATCCATAGTGGCAATAGCTCCTCAAAAGCTCTTAGATTCAAGTTTTCCTTGTCAAAATGGTGTCAAATTAAGATGAAAAAGAGGTCTTGAAATCCACTGTGTGCTCTTCAGCCAAGGTTCTTCCAGCTCTATAAAACTATCTACACAAACAGACACCTCATCTCCTTTCAAGCTACAGCCCAAACTTCACAAACAAGAGCTACCACAAAGCTCATGAGAACCTGTTCTGGAGAAACACAGGGATCTCTTGACCTGTCTCACTCAGGTCCCAGGAACTCACCACCCAACTGTCAAAACCAAAAGCTTTTCATAGGGTGTTTACAATTCCTAGTCTCCACTATGGAGCCTTTTTTTTTTTAAAAAAAAAAAAAAAATTAAATCCTAGTCTCCAGTGATTTTTTTTTCCTTTATATCCAGCCCCTTGCCTTTATCCACCAGTCAGTGCTCTACTGACACAAGTAAATCAACTGCAAAAGAACTTTTTTTTTTAGACTTACCCAGCAGCAATTAAAAGGTCTGCATTTTAAAGCTTTTTAACATCAATAATATACTACTATTAAGTTGTTTGAACAGATGCTGCTGCTCCTTCTACAAAAAGGATTTTTATTTTTCTGTTAAAATTGAAAAACAGACGTGGACATGACTTCATTGGCATTTACAAAGGCTGGATTTAATACTTTTGCTGCTGAAAACACTAGTGCTTTCCATGAATGCTATTGTTTGGATACACACACATTCCTCACAGTCATTTCCTTTCAAATTCAGCTCATTCCTTACCCTTACCTGTTATTTGGATTTTCTCTTGCAGTCTCTCACATTCCTCCCACTATTGCTTACTGCTCCTTTCAGATGCTTAGCTGCATCTCTTAAATCTCCACCTGTTTCTTCCCACCTTCCAAGTGCTGCCCTGGCTAACACGGTAGAAGCAGGCAGGAGACACCTGATGCTGGAAAAGTCCATTTGCTCCTCCTGTTCACAAAAGAACGGACTTCCAAGAGTCAGAGGTGAGGCAGGTGTCTTTGAATACAGCAGCAATGCACTGCAGCCAGGAGCTGCTGCCAGGGTAGAAATTCATTCACCACTGGCTTCCTCACCTCTAGCAGATAGGGTTTACCCACCCATATTACAGTTCTGAAACACATCAGCAATACTGTTGTAATACACAAACAGATTAGCTTGATGTAAATATGTTGTAATGGGAACAGAAAGAGAGGTGAAGTGTGAAATTACATGTCACTACTTCTACAGAAGGATGAGGCTATATCACTTGATTAGCTGCAACAGGACAGGTAAATTTCATTTGAAGGGAATACAGAAACACGAAAGACAAAATTTAATTTTTCTGTATGCTGGCAGAAAGGAGAAACCCCCCTCTGCTATTAAAGAAATACCTAAGTGCTTGGATAACTCAGAGTAACAGATAAATTAAGCTGAGCTTTTGTTATTACATGACAAACAGGCAAGCAAGCCACAAGCTATATCTGAAAGCCTCTAGGTAACAATTCCTGACTTTTTTTTACAATAAAATAATGCAGGACCAAAGCAGAGAACATGCAATAAAAAATTCAATAGATTATCTGAATTCCAACCACTACACTACTATGAGAATAAAAGCAACCATATATTTGCTTATAAGCAAAAAGGAAAAAAATCTTTTTGCTAATTAATAAATTCATTGAACTACCCTCAAAATCATTCCAAGATCTCTTCTGTTTAGCTGTTTGGGTTTCTTAACACGATAGCATACTTCGATTTTTATCCACTCCCAATTCGCTCATATTATTCACTTTTGACTTTTCATCTTATATCATTTACAGAGGACGGGTTATGCAGAAAAAAACCAATACAGAGCAATCTTCAAGACTGAACCAAAGAAAACCTACTCATTATCCCTGCTAAATAACCATCTATTATTTGTATCACACAGCAGATTAGACATGTAAAGTGACAAGCTCTCAAACACTTGCATGATGTAATTCATTTCCATGTTGATGAGATTAGAAATATTTCACATGTAAATTCACTAGATCACCGAAGAAATCAGTAGTTGTACATAGGACGTTATCAAGTTACATTTAAACATTAAATAGGTGATAAAAGAAGAATGTCCCATGCCAATCTACAGCACAGTATAAGGAAGTAGTTCAACAGTCCAAACTACAGGCATCTTCATTTTGAAAGGCAAAATAACCTACCAAAGACAAACCAAACTGCTTCCATTAGTAGTAAATTAATACATTTCCCTCACAAAAACACAACTGCTTTGTCAGCATCTTAAAGTAAAAATACAGCTGGCTCCACATCTAGCCAGTCTCAAGTAACACAAGGGAGAGAAAAATGGGAGAAAATAGCTTTTTAGCTTTACCTGACAATAGCATTACACATTTTTTTCAGAGGCAGCAGGAATGCTACACGTCTCTGCCATACAGTCCCTCATCCCCCTTTTTGTGCTCTAAGCCTCCATGTGTTGCACAACTGTAAAACTGTCAGGTCAAATCCTTGTCACATTGCAGGACTGTGCTCTGATCATGGAGCACTACTCCCATTGGTTAGCAAACTGTCAGGTTGACCGAGCACATGCAATGTAGCCTTAAGCAACTCATCACAACTATTTGTACAAAAGGCACGTTAGAAATATGCGCTCGGAGGGGGGAATAAAATTTATTTTATTTTTTAAATGAGGCAAATTACACTTTTCATGTATAAATCTTACATTCCTCATAACCATGTAATTTCACATAATAGTATTAAAGATTGTACATAATAAACTCACATGAGCGACATTTGCTTTAATGTGGAATCATATGACTTTCCTCCTTGTCAACATTACGCAAGCTACTGCAGGAGAAATCTCACGTCCTTTTTCAGGAACAGCTGCAGCACCGGAGGGTAAGAGATCAGCTCAAGGAACACCAACAAAAACCACATTTAACAGCATGAGGGAACACATTCCTGTGCAACTGAGGCAGTTCCTTATTCACGGAATTTTTATTACTATAAGAATTAAGGTTAAAATAATAAAATGTAGAATAAGTGGGCAATGCTGCAAATTGATTTAATTGTAAGTTATAGCTGCAACCCCTAGTTCATCTTAGAAATGCATGAAGGAGATATGCACAGTACATGCAGCTTCTAGCTCACACATGGATTCCAGCAGGAATTGATATCTGTTCATCCCCTTGCAGGCCCTCAACACTGAGTGCCACAAAATAGCAGAAAAGTAAGAAGCCAAAAGCTATATTGTTTCTTACAGCATGTCAGAGGGCTTAAATACTGCTTAAAACTGGGTTTGCGTGCTTTTATCTTGGAGGAACTGAAGTCTAAGTGGTTAGGCTGCCAGCCAAGGATTTAGAAGAACCGGGATGAATTTCCAGCTCTAGCAGACATGTTACTTGATCTGCCTGAACTCCTCATCTACAAAATGTGAATAATCATTACCTCCGAGAGACCAGTATGAGAAGTACATTACTGAGATCATGAGATACTAGGACACAAATTGTACCAAAACTTGACAAGTACTAGAAGTAGACAGTCAATTACCTCCAGAGCATAACTGCACAGCAGATTTTCCCTAAAAAAAAAAAAAAAAAAAAAAAAAAAAAAAAAAAAAAAAAAAATCACAATCCACCAAGGACTTTTCAACATAAAATAACTGTGACAAATAAACATGCCTAGTATAACAAATATGTATATAACTAAATCAACAGCTACATAGCAGGTGGACAATCTTCAGATTTAAATTTCAATTTTAAATTACAATTAAAATGTAGGAGTTTGGGCGGGGTGTTCATTAAAATTTTAAGTTTAGAGAACAGACATCAGGATGCTCAAGTTATGATCTGCAGAACTTTTCTGCTAAACCAGGACAACTAATCCAGCCCCAGCCCACAGGACACACATCAGGCTCAGTCCTGTGATGAAGCACTGGTCTACTCGTACCAGAAGTAAACTGCAGTAGTGCCTGACCTAAGCTTTAACGTATTTAAACAAGCGCTGAAGTACTGGATCACAGAACTCCTCAAGGACTGCCATGCATTTCTTATGAATCATCATGTACCTTGAACCAAGTTCTTTCTTAAAAATACAATCCTACCATGATCTCCCAGACTAGCTGTAAAATACCTGTGGGTAGCATCGTAAGAGACATAAATAACAAACTGATTATATTATCTTCATATACACACTAGATGCTGATGTTCCAGAAGAAACCAAGTCAGTACTGTAGAAGGCCTGAGCCACACTCCAGAACCAGATCCGATAACACACCAAACCAGCATTCATCTGCTCAGAGCAGCAGGAATATAATTTCTGTATTGCTGTGTTAGTTTCCAGCCTTGCAATTTC